ATGAGTCGAACTCAAACCCTATCTAGGATCGAGTCGCGAATAAGGCTAAGAGCCGTGTATTGCAGGAGTCCCAACAATGTAGCAGGTCCTGTTGGTTCAGGAAATCCAGACTGCTTTGGTGGCAATCCACAAGGTAATGACAATGGTGGCCAAGGAGATCCTGATGGCACTGATCCATGTCCTGGAGGAGGTGGAGGCGGTGGCAATCCAGAACCAGAAGGCAGGTACTTCCGTGCCAAGGCAGATGCCACAGCCTACCCTACTCTTAGTTCCAACAAGGAGTTTGACACTTGGTATGAGGCTTTCATTGTCATAGCCAGAGCCCAAGGCCTCTACAAGGTCTTCGACACTGACTATGCTCCCATGACCACCGAGTACTTTGAGGAACTCCTACGGATGAACCGGTGGATCTATGCTGTCCTCCTGAACACAGTGAAGACAACCAATGGGAAGGTCATTGTGAAGTCTCACTTCCATGATGTTGATTGCTTTGCAATCCTTGTGGAACTGATCCAGGATGCACATGCATCAGTGGCAGGCTCCCTGGACCATGTTGAGGTCCTCCATTGGCTTTCAAGTGTCCAGTACTGTCCAAGGCAAGGCTCTGCTGTTGAATTTGTCATCAAGTTTGACGAGACCATCACCCACTACAATGATGGCCACCGAGATCATAGCGACAAGCTCAGCGACAGCATGCAGAAGCTGTTCCTGCAACGTGCCTTCACTGATGTCCAAGTCTTGAACGACATCAGATCCCGTGAGCATGAAAGAATGTGTCGTCATGGTCCCAAGGAGCGCTTCACCTATGAGGCGTACAAGGAGACACTGAAGAATGCCGCCACCCACTACGATGTCAACCGCCGTGTTCCCGACTCCCACCTAGCCAACCTAGCAACTGTTGATCAGGAACAAGGCCATACCAACGATGGTGGGGAGCAGCAAATCCTCGGACTCCCAAACACAATTTGGTTCAAGCTTTCGCCTGCCGGCCGCCAAATCTGGTGCAAGTTCTCTGATGCCGACAGACAAGTCCTGATAGGTTCGACGCCGCCTGTAGTTGATTCCAAGAGTGAAGCTGACCCAGCAGTCGGGGACACCTTGGATTCTCCCATGACAGATGACGAAGCCTTCAAGGGCAAGCCCAAGCCCAATCCCAACCTGGATTTTTGATGGGGCGACTAGTGTACGTGCTGCACCGGTCAAGCCCAAGGAAACCAGGCACCGCCCATGTCTGCGGGGTAGCATGCCACCCACAATGGGGCTACCTTCCGCAGGAAATGGCACCGTATGACAAGTCCCCTTGCTAGATTTGTCATCATGATTCAAGCATACCGTTTTGTGATTTACAACTTGTCTATTGTCACCAGTGGTGTCAAAAGACTCATCTCTGCCTGAGATGTATGTGTTGTAACGTTTTGTCAACCACGTATTGATTCCAATATGACTACTGACTGTTTGTCTCTGCCCCTCTGAGCTTTATGGGGAGACAAACAGATGGCTTCTAAGCCAATTCCAAGCTATGGTGCAAGTATGGGGAGACCAAGTGGGATCCTTACTGACGTCCAAGTGCAATAGGTTCCTTGTGAATGGGGAGTATCTGCAGATAGCCTCAAGACATGTACCACACACACCTTCGCGAGTGACCAACCCAAGGTGGATGTGTATTGTCCATCCCAAGAAGTACCTCTGCGCACACCACGTCTGTCCTAGATCCTAACACCTTTTCTCTCTTGGACAACGATGGCAACCCAATGCATTTGCTTTGGAGCCAGCCGCCTACTTTGGAGGGTTTGAGATCACAAGTGTGATGTCCCTTCCTTTGTTCCAAGTGGTACCCAGCAATGGACACCTTGATGTATTCAAGAGGGCTGCTGACTTTGTATTAGGTCACAGCCAAGGTCCAAACTGAGGAACCAGATGCTCCCCGTTTTGTGGGAATGTCGAGGAATGACCCAGACATAGAGAAGCTTGTTGACGCCCCCATTTGATGACTCGAATGGTGGGGAGCGATGAAATTAGCAATAGGAGCCTCTATGGGTGCGCCACAGCTGTGCTGGTTTAGTCGGATGGAAACAATGCTTTTCATCGTGTACAGTCAATCAGTACACACAGCATTGCAGCCATGTGACAATTTGTATATAGCTGAGGCATGCCTATGTGTTGCAGAGCATACATAGCCTTCAGCCTAGATACATTGGAATGTTCCAGACCAACAGTCCTCTCCTAGGATCTCCAACTGTAGATATCCTCTCCAAAAGAGCCAGTTCTGTCGACTGGAGTGAAATCGTGGTAATGATGTTTAGCTTATAGTAAGAAAGATAGTAAAGAAAGAGTAACCCTGAGACCCAGTAGCACCGTCAGCCCTGCAGTAGATAGAATCCTGTGTGGTATGTGCTAGGGCAATGTAACCAGCTCCCCAAGTACTCTGAAGCAGTGATTGGGTAGCATTGAACCAGCTCTCTTTGAGCTGGCCTTTCAGCCAGTGGAGGAGATCTCCATCACTAGAGATCTCCCTCCCAGCTCTTGTGTTCCTACAACTGAGCCTCATTGGCAAAGATTTATAGGAAATTCTATGCAAAATACTATTTAAAAGACTGTCCACTGATAATACAGAAGTAATACTGATACAACACTAAAAGCGTTCGGGGGAAGTGTTCAGGAGAAGTGTTCAGGAGAAGTGTTCAGGAGAAGTGTTCGGGAGCAGTGTTTGAGAGAAGTGAAACCAAATTTGCAGGACCGTCCGACGGTTTTCACTCAGGATTTAAAAAGCTTCCACGACTGACAAAAACTTGACCAGCACAATTAAGGGATTGTTTCTTTTAAGGGATTGTTTAAGGGATAGTCAAAGATTTAAGGGATTGTTGTTAAGGGATTGTTTATTTAAAGGATTGTTTAGGGCATAGTTGAAGAAATAGGGGATAGTTGTATGGTATGTCCATTTGGCGTTAAGGGATTGTTTAGGGGATAGTCCAAGATTTAAGGGATTGTTTTAAGGGATTGTTTCTTTAAAAGGGATTGTTTAAGGGATAGTTGATGAGTTAAGGGATTGTTTAAGGGATTGTTTTAAACGGTCATTCAGTCGTGGCAATTTCAAGATTTTTTAGATCCTGTATGAAAACCGTCGGACGGTCCAGAGGAATGCGATTCTCAGCTTGCCTTTTGAAAAGTTGGAGCAGACTTGCCACCTCGGTTCAGATGTGTTTTAAGGTCTGGCCGTCGCTACACTGGATTTTTCTTGAAATTGCCCCATTATGGTGGGGATAAGTACCAATTTTCGACTTTTTGACACAAATGCACTCAAAAAAGGTATAAAATTGTCATTTGTTGCCCTACCACGGCCAGACCTTAAAAGACAATTCATCCATTTTGAACCGAGGTGTTGCCCAACCCAACCAGAGCTCGGGTTCACGATTAGGGTGAAGGGTGAAGTTCAGGAAAAGACAAACACGATGCACGATTTGTCAGTCAGGCATGCAGCATTGGCCCTGGCACGCTGGTCCCTGCAAAATACTTGCCGTTGGATCCGGCGAGAGTACAATGTACTGCAATCTACGTAGCTCCTGCGTGCACCAGCATGCGCTGCGCGAACTCGCCACAGGACGGTTGCTGCACTTGGTCGCTTCCACGAAAGGAGGCATTTGGTCTTTGGTCTTTCTCAGAAGCCAAACTCCAAAGCCAACGAAAAACACTTGGCTCGAAGTAGCCATATTTTGCAGGACCAGAAGAAAGAGTGATTAATTGCCAAGGAAACTATTCTAGTAGAGCAACCCGTTTGAAACCATGGGTCTTACATTCTCCCGAGTATGGGAGCGCATGGTAAGAGATGGCGGCAGTCGAAGACAGATCTTTGGAGTCGAGTCGAGTGACGAGTCGGACAAAATGAGGATCCCTCTGTGATGGATCCTCGGCGGCTCTACAAGGTCATTCCAGGATCTCCTCGATACACGGTTATCCATTGCTCACCTATATTTTCCTTCCTTTTCATGACAGTTCGGCAAGAAAGAGATGCGTATTTTGATGGTCGGTCTCGATGCTGCTGGTAAAACCACCATCTTGTACAAGCTCAAGCTGGGCGAAGGTGAGTGGAAGGGAAGCAAGGCTCTATGCAGTCATTGGTTCATTGGTGATCTCGCTAACCTTTGGCTTGTACTTTCGTTGGCTGACAATTTCTTTGTGGTTCTTTTATTCAGTTGTTACCACTATTCCCACTATTGGTGAGTTTCTTTTCGTGGGATGGGAATTTTAACTTATTTTTGAACATCGGACTGACTCTGTATGGTTCCACATGAAAGGATTTAACGTGGAGACTGTGGAATACAAGAACATCTCCTTCACAGTGTGGGATGTGGGCGGTCAAGATAAGATCCGACCTTTGTGGCGCCATTATTACCAAAATACTCAAGGGTTGATCTTTGTGGTGGATTCCAATGATGCTGACCGTATCGATGCAGCCAGAGACGAGTTGCACAGAATGCTGAATGAAGATGAACTCCGTGATGCCGTCTTGCTAGTCTTTGCCAACAAACAGGATCTACCCAATGCAATGAGTGCTGCAGAAATGACAGACAAACTTGGTCTCCACGGACTTCGTCCATCTTATCGTCAGTGGTACATTCAAGCTTGCTGCGCAACAACTGGTGATGGTCTGTATGAAGGTCTTGACTGGCTCTCAGCTACCCTGGTGAAGAGGAAGTAAAAAACCCGACACACTCATGCTTTGAATTACGGCAAGGAAAGAAAGGAAATTCAAATGTGAAAGCTGTCTGGGATAAAACCTTGGTCCGGGTCACTCTACTTTTTTCGCTCTACCGATATGATTATTACATGCCACGACACTTTTAAAAAAGTCTGTCGAGTTGTCGACTGTTTATTGTGGTCACGTGTGCAGCTCGGCGGCAGCAAGAAGACGGACGGAAACGATTGATGGAATGAAGTAGAAGTTAAAATTAGTCAACACGTTGCAACCGTGGCTGCCTCGAAGTTTTTTTGATGTGCTTGTGGATTGGGCGATGGACACTGGTCTTGTTTTAAACATGCTGGGAACCAACAGATGTTTGAAAAGTTGACCAGGAACCCTTGTTTCTGGCTACTTTCGCTGCCAACTATTGCCTGATAATTGCATCATTCCTTTGTAAATGTACTGTATCGCATTAGCTCGCGACTTTCGAATAGATGGATGCTCCTTCACCACATGAAGAATCGGGATGCTTGCATGCTGGATTCGATGATAAGTTGTGGAAGCAGCAGTCCAACGCACTCCTCCAGTACCCGCATTGGGGAAGAGAAAAAGAAAGGCTGCCACATGCGAGCTCTTTGTGTTCCCTTTCTAGAGCTAGCTAGCTAGCGGGGTGTGAAAGCATTCCAATCCAAGTTTGATGCAACTTCCAATGTCAAGATGATGGAGAGGTACTAGTACTAGTACACGTGTAGCGTACCGTAGCGGTAGGAAAACTAGAGTAGTTGTCAACGCACGTACCGGCACATGATATAAAAGTGAGGAGTTAGTCCGCAATGCACCATTCACGCACGATCCGATATCTTTCACGTCACGCGGGTTCCGTTGCCGAACCTTCTGGAACGTACGAGCTCACGGGACACCAAGCAAGGACTTTCTCCTCATTTTCGTTTTCTTTTGCACCATGGCAACCGTAGCTGGAGCAACAACCAGCAACAACAAGAGCAGCAGCAACAACAAGGATGCAGCTGCCAGCAGCAAGACAGGACCCCCAGTCCAAGTCTTTGTCCGCTTGCGACCCTTGATCCCCGAAGAGGAGGGCCACGAGGTGATTGAGTTCAAGACCAATGATCGCCAAAGTCAGTTCCAACTCAAACAGCCGTCCCAAGAAGAAGCACCAGCAAAAATCAATCCTGTGTTTGCCGGGGCTCCCCCTCTACGACGCCGCAAAGATCAGTGGAAGAGCTTTGATGGTTTTAACAAAATCTTGAAGGATGACAAGAACAACGAACAGGTCTATCAGGCCACCATTCAACCTTTGGTGACAGCGGTAGCGGAGCAACCCAACTTGTCAGCCTGTGTGTTTACCTATGGACACACTGGCTCTGGAAAGAGTCATACGCTGTTGGGATATGACGACGAATTGGGTGTCTACAAATTTGCAGCGGCAGAGATGTTGGAGCAACTGGCGGATAATGATGATAATGGCAAAATGATGCTACTGGTTCGTGTTTCAGAACTGTACAAGGATACAGTACATGATTTGTTGACAAAGGAACAGTGCTCTATTCGTCAAGATGGAAAGGGCGTTGTTCAAGTGCGAGGTCCCATGAAAGAAGATGATCTGGGACGTATCGATCAACTGCCGCTGGGAAAACTCTGTTCCACGGCACCAGAGGTGGTGGACTGCGTCGAGGCCGCTGTGGCCAGTCGTCGTGTCGGAATCTCCACTCATCACAGTCAATCTTCTCGATCGCACCTGGTGGTGGAATTGGAAGTTGTCACGGCAGAACTTGTGGAGCAGCGAAACTTGTTGATGACCCGAGATGCACACTTGACACGCCTCAAATGGTTACAGACCGAAAGATCGTTTGGCAAGCACTTGGATCGGCCCATGCCGAAATGGACCAAGCCTTACATGGACGGCAATGCACCCACAAAATTACGCAAAGAAATTCTGCAGTATGAAACTCTCGTGAAGGAATCCAAACAATGCGTTGCCAAGTTGGAGAAAAACTTGGGAGGAACCCTGGTGTTTTGTGACTTGGCTGGAAATGAATATGCGCGAGATGCTGCCGGTTCTACCAAGGAAGAAATGGAAGAGGCAGCCGAAATCAATAAGAGTTTGCTCGCCGTAAAGGAAATGATTCGTAGTCTCAACAACAATGCCAAAGGAAAAGGCACCAATCATGTGCCCTATCGCGATTCGAAACTGACCATGATGCTCCGTCGCCACCTTGATAACAAGGCGGTCATGATGGCTCATCTCAGTCCGAGTCAAGAGTCGTGGCGCAAAACAATCAATACGTTAACCTATGCTGCCCTGGTGGGGCAAAATTCCAAGGGTGCCGTCGGAAAACGGCAGCAGGGAAAGGAAAACAAAATTCGGCAGTAAGAACAACTATGAGTCACACGGGCGAGGTATCGGTAGCAACAATAAACTAGATGGCATTTGATTGTTCAGTTTGCTTTGCCTGACTGTCGTCACCAGTTACCCCTCTCGATTGTTTTGCTGCCTCGCAGTTGGACTTGTTGCTTCAAACTGCAGATCTCGCTTCGTGGTGGTTTCTACAGTCATGCGGTTCACCGTGTACCGTACTAGTAGAACTATCGAAATCTAGCTAGTTTTCTGGCGCTTTCTTGTCGCATCACGTGCTCGCTTGCCATGCCGTTTGGAACCCATCCCACCGAAATTCCCCTTGGGATTGAATCCAGACATATCATTCATGGACTTGGGATCATTTTGCTTGAATCGTCCACGTTTTCCACCAAAGCCGTACTTTTTGTTGGCAGCCATTCGTTTCTTATTGGGCCCATTGTTGTCTCTGCCTTGCATCTTTCGGAGGTACACTTGGTCATCCTGATCATTGTATTTTCCTCCACGATTCGAGGCGGCACCTTTGGCCCAATCATCCACAAAGTTCATATTATCCTTCTTTCTACGCGCTTTCTCTGCTATCTTGTTGGAGTGAGCTTCTTTGGATCGTAGTTTCTGCTCTTTATTCGACTTTCTTTGTGCCACAGCCTCAATCTTCTTGTTTTCAAAAATGAGACGATCCTTCACCCGAGCCATGTGGTCTGAATCGCAGTGCAGTTGTTAGTAAAGCATGAGATTCCTTCAATCATTGAAGGCTCACAAGAAGTGACTGCTGGGTGTGAAACTTACCATCTGTTTTTACCATTTCTGCAAAGAAATCATCAGGTCTTGCAAAGGGAATCCCTGCCTGTTTGCACTTTGTCCGAGCTAATTGCACAGCCTCCAAGGCAACGTCATAGAATGCAACCTCTCTGTTGAGATCATCGTGAATGTCAATTTTGTTGCCAGTGTCTTCGTCCGCTTTCCCAAAGGGAAGAGGTTCAGAGGGAACCACATCAAAGCGTTCTGCCCAAGGGAAAGTTCCCTTTTCTGCTTGGAGTTGTGCCGTTTTGGCCGATAAGGCTTTGGAATTTGTATCAAAGACACCATGCTCATCGTCATTGTCTTCTTCTTCTTCGCTATTCTCAGATTCAATTTCTTCTTCTTCTGTCTGATCCCGTTTTGATTTTTGTTGCTGTTCCTCGGGATCCTCTTCATCTTCCATTTCCTCTTCGTCTGACTGTTCTGATTCTTCACTATGTTCTTGTCCATCAGAGTCTTTGGTTTCTGCTTCTTTGGTGTTTTTACGCTTTCGTTTGTTGTTGCCTTTATTCTTCTGATTGTCCTCCTCGTCATCAAGAACCACTTCTTCGATAGATTCATCATCATCATCATCGTTGTCGTCTTTACTGTCCTTTTCAGCTTTGCCTTTTGCAACCAGTTTGTCGTAGGATCCACTTTCGATCATTTCCTTTAGCGCCTTCGCCTTGGCATTCCAGTTCTTGTTGTTCTGTTCCAAAGGCTCTTCGTCGCTTGATGACATTGCCTCCACCTCTTCGAGAACAGATGATGTTTTCTTGACTTCTTTCTCTTTACGCTGGCCCTTTTTCTCTGCCTTCTTCGCCGCCTTGGACGTCTTGTTCTTCTTTGCCATCTTGATGATACACTCCAGATATAATATTATGTTGGTTGGGGAAAGGAAAAATGAATGTTTGTGAAGAGTAGTGGCCGGAGCTGTTGCAAGATTTTGGGTGGCTGTGGAGAAGCTTTTGCGAGCGCACCGTCGGAAAGTAAAGAATTGGATCGGATCGAATGATCAATCGAATCTTTCAGGCATTCGAATGTCGTTACTTTCATTCGATCGCAATCCTATTTGGGATTACTCCCGTGGTATTACAGTATACCATAGTTAGGGGCGACAAACTGAGGACCATTACGGGGCCGAAGTTTGCCTCTGACAGTTATTGAACCTCCAGTCCATGATCCACTCCTCAACTACTACTACTGGCTGGTGCGGGTACGGACCGTACATCGAAGTCGTTTTCGCCTTGGCCTCGGGCATCGGACGATTTCCTGTGTCCAGTCTTATCCAGTTTATTTTATAATAGAAAACAGCGCCTGCTTCACCCTTACTCTACTTCGATTGTCTCCAATCCAAGCAGAAGCAAATATATCAGAGCATTTCTTGAATACGTGCAAACATAAAATGCCGTGCATTGCCAAGCCTACTTGCCACAAGGGCGCCAGTCTTGCATTCCATTGTACGCAGCGTTGGCCACTCCTCCAGCCACTGCCATTCGCACCAATCCGACCGGACCCGCGAGAACGAGACCCACTGCTCCATTTGCCACTGCGCCACGCACAGCTGCGTTGCCAAGGTTACGAGGATCTCGACAATCCTTCCCTTCCTTCCCGTCACTCTCTGTCGGCTGGGCTTCTTGGCCAAGCAGACTCTCCATTCGAAACTTCATCTCCGTCCAAGAATCAGACAGGGAATCACGGACGTCGTTTTTGCCGGTTCTGGGGGAGGCGCAATCGCGACCGTAGTGGGCTCGACGACAGGCGTAGCGACAACAGTAACAGGCGCTTCGGCTACCACACACGCAGCAGTGGGTGGCTGGGATGCCTGATTGTTTCTCTGCCCAGGAGCAAGCAACCGCTGCCCGCTGGTTCCATCGCGATTGGATCTGCGGCCGCTGCTGGCAGAACACCCAGGTGTCGGGAGCCCTCCAGTGACGGCGTCTCGCTTGGCGATCTGTCCTTCTGGAGTTCGCGACAGCCCTGGACCATTTGGACGTGGTTGGTGTGGGTTGTAGCTGGTGGCTGTCTCTTTCCGGTGGCTGCTTCCCTTTTGACAATCTGTTCTTCCGAAGACCTGCCGAGCCCATGAAATACAGAAGCAACAGAAATCGGGGATCGCGGAACTGTACCCTTATGATAGCGCTGCAAGCCCAGGCTTCTTCACCAAGGCAGTCGTCTGCTGGGGAGCAGCCTGTGATGAGGGTCCATCGAAATGGCATTCGTAGCGATTAGCGGCGAAAGAGTCGAATTCTTTCTTCGAAAACACCGCGAGCCCATTCTGTTTGTACGCACTGCCCCCCATCACAGGCCCAAAGTCATCTCCAAAAGCATCGCCTCCGAGCGCGTCTTTCTTCGCCTCTGATGCCCCACCGGAAGTTGCACCCGTAGTCGGAAGGGTTGGTTTTGGATATCCTGGATTATGAGGGTGGTCTGTCCGCGTCGAAGAAGGCGGCACCGGCAGGGGCCTCGCGTAGCTCGAAGGAAACCACCCACGACGGGATTTGTCTCCAAGGATGCGACCATCCAATTGTTGGACCATCTGTGACTACGATTATGTCTCCTGCGTAGAAGCATAGCTGACCCCTTTTCACCAAAGAACGGATGGAGCGCCTCGCAACGATGAAACATCTTCTTGGAGCCTCTCGACTGGGCAGGGTATCGTTCTGTGGGCTCTCTACCCCAACGAAACGAAACTGTGGCACCCCCGCAAATAACTCGATATCGCATCTCAAGTGGATACCGTACCGTACCGGTATCTTGCAGTCGTGGATTCGTCCCTCCCAGCACCATGTCTTGAGACGATCGCGAAACAAACTGGTGGAGAGCCATTGCACTCGAGCCTGTACCAGTACTAGCTAGTAGCAGATGACTGTTTTGGCTGGTTGGTTGCTGGCTGATTCCGTGCTATGCAACGCTTCCTGCTGTCGTCTTCCGGTACCTGGTGGCTCGCTTGCTAGTAGTATGTTTCCATGCTGGCCAAGGAATGGTGCCCCGCTGACATCTTCCCGTTAGCATTTAGAACAGCACCGATACCAAGCAATGTAGGTTGGAAGGTTCGAAAGTGCTCCTTCTTGGTTTGGGCAAAACCTGAGTAACTAGAATGAACGCAATGGATCTCACTCCCTCTGGCAGGATTCCAAGCTTGCTTTCAACCAATCTTGAAAGCCCTGCTGCAGTTGACAATTTTCATTCCTGAAGCAAGGGCTGCCAATCTGTTCCATCCATAGGAGCCTTCACAGCTGTCCTCAGGTCTAGACTCTACTTCGGTTGGCAAGTAGATAGCCATCAAGATACTAGAGCTAGCTAGTACCAGGTATACTGGTACCGTCCACTGGCCCGAGAGATGGAAGAAAAACCGTCACTCAAAAATGCCCAGACTTGAGATCTTGATGCATGCACAGAACCGACTGTACGGTGTACGATGTACCTAGTACCTGGTACCTGGTATCGGTACTGTACCGTTGCCAGAAGCGACGGCCAGGGTATGGTAGTCAAGCTTTAGGGTTGGAGCTACGCACCGAATATGCTGACTCAGTTGCAATGACGTCAGTCTCTTGTTGATCCATTCCAGAGAATTGTTGTCTGATGGCTGATGGCTGCACTTCTTGTCTTGATGTGAGTGTTGCGCCAGCCAACAAGCACAAAAATCGGAAGCTTTGCAGATCCTAACCGATTTGGTGATGTCGAATTGTCCGAATGGGGTGTCACTATTGGCTGAGGAGAGTCTTCCTAACGTCTCGAGGTTCCGGCCTTCCAAGCCACGCAGCCGACCAATCGACGTTGCCCCCGCAGCGCAATGCTTTCTTCTTCAACAGTGCGGTGATGGCTGAATAAAGGCAACTGTGGGACTGCTTATTGTCGACGTTGTGACGCCAGCGCTGTCAACCCAGCCATCAATCTTTGTTTGGGAGCCTTTTGAGTGACTGCTGCACGAATCTACTACTAGTAGAGTCGAGTCTGTCATTTCCGATAACAAACATCATCATCGGCTCACTGTTCGAATTGCTGCAGCTAAACAGCTAGCTAATAGCAATCAAAGGATCCTTGAAAAGTATAGCATCCATCAGTCCTCATTATTTATCTGCCCGGTGGTTCCTCGTGCTCAGTTCAGATATAAAGGAAAAATGTTGCTAGGACTATCAAACAAGCGGGTTGCCTTGGGCACCCTTTTGGCATCAGCGGCTGCCGCATCCGTTGCTGCCTTTCAACCCGCGAAACAAGCCCAACGGGCTGGAGTGGCTCTGAACATGGTTGCCATTGACCCTAGTACTGTCACAAAGAAGGATTACGAAGATATTTGTGGTGTTTCCTTTGACGAGCAGAACATGAAGGATCGACTTCGCTCGACCAAGTATCTCTACCCTAAGCACGTCGAAGTCATTGAAGATATTGCGCCGATTGCTGATGAGATGGTGGACGCTGTCGTAAGTTAATCATTGGATCTTGGCTTGATAATAGCCGAGCAAGATATATATCAAAGCAGGGGGTATTAATTTTTGGATTTTGAGTGATTGTCTAACTTTTCCTGTTACCCTTCCTGTGCTTATCGCCAGCTTTTGGAAACTGGAGATGCGTCTTGGCAGCCACAGGATTTTCTCCCTGACTTGACAAAAGAAGGATGGGAGGACGAAGTAAAGGAACTAAGAGAAATGGCATCGGGTCTCTCCGATGATGTGTTGGTGGTCCTTATCGGTGACTTGATCACCGAGGAGGCTCTTCCTACATACCAAACTCTTTTGAATACCTTTGAGGGATGCGATGATCCCACTGGAACCACAGACACTCCCTGGGCTCGCTGGAGCCGTGGATGGACTTCGGAAGAGAACCGTCACGGTGATCTTTTGAACAAGTACCTTTACCTTACTGGCCGTACTGATATGCGCAGCATTGAGGTCACAATCCAACACTTGATTACGAATGGATTCAACCCAGGGGCTCAAAAAGATCCTTACAGAGGATTTGTGTACACTTCATTCCAAGAACGTGCCACCAAAGTCTCTCATGCCAACGTGGGAAAATTGGCCCGAAGAGAGGGCGACACTCGTTTGTCCAAAATCTGCAACAAGATTGCAGGAGACGAAGGTCGCCACGAGAAAGCTTACCAAACATTCTCGGAAGAAATCTTGGCCCGTGACGCTGATGGCTTGTTGATGGTTTTCGGAGACATGATGCGAGGACAAATTACCATGCCTGCCGAGAATATGTGCGATGGAGTCAATGATCACCTCTACAACGACTTCTCAACCATTGCTCAACGCATTGGCGTTTACACAGCCATCGACTACGCGGAAATCATTGAGCATCTTGTGAAGAGGTGGGATCTTGAGAAGATCGAAGGGCTCTCGTCTGCAGCGGAGAAAGAACGTGACTACTTGTGTCGTCTCCCCGAGCGATACCGCAAGTTGGCGGAACGTTCCATGAACAAAGCTGCAAAGGCTGGTGTTGAGCAGGAAAAGAAGCCCTTCGCCTGGCTTCATGGCAGAGCAGTTTAGAAGGCACTGTATTCACCATGAAGAAAGAGCAGACACTCTGAAGAAAGAAGAGAAACTATTGAACATTTTTTTGAGGCGGCAGTGTGACATAAATGATTTGATCTATGATATACTTTAGGACAAGCTTAATAGAGAGCAGCTTTTCCAGTTTTTCTTTGCCCAGAAATTTTAGCAAAGAGCCCAGTGGCGCACTCACCGATTCACTGCCTGCTTTAGAAAGAGCACGAATTCGAGCGCGTGTGGGACGTGCGTCCTTGCTCTGATGTCGTCTCTCTTCAGGAATCAGAAGCAGCGTGAAAGCCATCGTTTCACCTTCCCTTTGCTACCACTACGACAACACCATATAGCTCGTTACGGAACATTGGGACGTCGCAAAACAGGTTTCCAGTTGGCTGGCCTGACTGATCCATCACAGCACGGTTTTCTGCCTTGGCAGGGAGAGAGGAGAGTTTTGTGAGAGAGAAACTTTTCATCCTTGACTCTGACTGAAAAGAGATGCGTTTTGACGTTTTACTTTCGTGAAAACGATAAAACATTATGTAAGTTTATTGTTTTTCCGTTGAAATCGACCAAACTGAATGCGTTTGAGATCCTAGCTAGCTACGGTACTAGTAGCTACCAGTACATGTACTAGTATTAGTACCGGTACGGTAGCTGAGCTTGCTTCTTCGAGGTTCCTCGATCCACCGGTGGCATCGCAGCATCAACACCTCTCAACAAACAAAACCTTGCTTGACGATGGAAATGGTTGACGATACTAACACCAGCGAAAAGGCAGCGCCGCTACCCTTAGATAATGAAGCCCAGTCGACCAAAGATGATGCAGGCGAAGACAAGGCGCCACCAGTGAAGCCTTCCGCTCATTTTTCTATGGCCGATAACGTGGAATATGAATACGAAACTGTCCATGATCTTGACGATAGGAAACCTGACGACGAAACTCATCAAGCAAGACGTCGGGCAAGCCACCTTCGTGCAAGCCAACGAGCCAGTATCAGCGGCACACCCTTTGATGTGTCCTACCATCCTTCCCAAATTGTTCTTTACAGTCGTCCACAACAAAGGCAACGCTGGGGTGATACTCAAGTCTTGCCGAGAGGTGAGAATGATGCAGAGCTTTGCGGTGTCTTGTTGAATAAGCAGTTCAACTTTCTCACCCTTTTTAATGCCTTCAATTAATTGTTCCACTTGCTTGCAGTAAATTGGTAGGAACTTGAAAGTTCCCTCTGTTTTTTCGCCTTCGTTGGCTGACCCTCTTTGCACTGCATTCTCTCTTCCTCTCGGTCATGATTCAGGGGAGACTTGTTCTTTGATCTTTACTACGTAGCTGCTGCGTACAACGTGAGTTAGTTGTTGAGACTTGCCTCTTTCATCTCAAGAATACTAGTACAGGCATTTTCTGCTGCTGGGGATTCGAATCTCATGCTTTTGTTTCAAACTTACTGGTACTTGATTGCGAATCAAGACTTCGAATATTCTTGTGGATTCGCCAAGGTATGTGCAGGAAACCAGTTTTACATACATACTGTAGTACCGTCTTACGCCATTCTCACCCTGGTATCGTCAATGTGCTGTAGTGGGAAGGGACTACTCTACTTTTTTGGCACGTTTCTTCCTTTGATGGGCATTTGGAATGAGAAAACTTATTTCGACGGCAGATTCGTGGTAGGAGATGATTTATTTCACAGGCTCGTTGAGCTCTTTGGCTTGGTGATCCTTGCGACGGCCGTCCTTCACATTCGACCTGTCGAATTTATGTCGAACAGTGCGGAGCATGTCGATATGTTTGTTTTCTCACTGATGGTTTTGATTGCCAATGTGCTCGAGTTGGCGAGAAATATTGAGCTGTCTGCCTTTGGGATTGGAGTTACAGTGAACGGAAGGAACGTCGTTCGTCAAGATGCCAAGAGGTGGTTTATCATGACGGTCCCGTACACAGCGTTGATACTCGCCGCCGCTGTTATAGCTGGCATTGAGTATTATGGCAACAAGTCCACCGACAACGACAAATACTCCGGTGGGAATTCAGATGGATACAGTTATGCCAGTGGAGGCAACTACACCGAGAGCGATAACCACAGGTTCTTGGCGGCTGCTTCCAGCAGTTCTTCTTCCTACGCGTCTGCCACTGCAGAGACGACGGATCTTCCCATCGCTCTAATTTTGGCCGGCCACATTGGAAAGTTCGTTCACTCGGCCGTGACGATCAGGTTCTGCTTCCCAGGAGGTGGCAAGCACAAGGAATTGTACGTGTTTGTTGACCAGGCGTTGCTTCCAGCCTGGTCTTCTATTCTGACACTTGTAAGCTCCACACAATCCTTCCGACAGAATCATTCCCATGAACGTGGACTTCTGCATTCACAGGTAAGTGCAAGCAGACTTCCCTGTGTCATTGAACAGCATGTCGCAATGGCTAATCTTCCTTCTTATTCACGCTCATTGTCCAGAAACGGGGAGGTAAGCTGAACAGGGTGTTTCTCTCAAGACTGTCAGAGTGGGTGCTCGTCCCGTTTCATCTCTCAATCGCCCTGATTTCGATTTGATTCGATGCCCAGTGGTGTATGTTGATGTTGGGAGAGTCGCTTTTGAGTCTATTGATTGTGGACGTGTCCGAGAATGACAACTATTATGCGACATTCTTCTCGGCTTTGCTTACCGTTATTCTTCTGCAGTACCTGCACTTCCGATCCCAGCCCCATCACGCCGATGCACATGCTTGGCGCCGCAACAAGGATGCTGGCGTGGGTTGGACTGGAATGCACCAGATCTATTCAGCGGCATTGGTTTCACTTGGTGCTGCCTTCACATTGATGGTCCTTGAGTTCACGTACCAGACAGAATCAGATGACGACAATCACCGACGTTTTCTTGCCGGGGGCGGCGCATCAAAGTACGAACCAAAAGATCGCCGCCAGAGAACCGCTCTGTTGTTTTCCATTTCCCTGGCAACTATTTGGTTTTGCTTGGATTGCATGACTATTTTCCACCTTGGTATCAAGACGAGTCACCATCGATGCCAGTGTTCGAAATCTAAGGTGTTGAATGTGAAGGGAATCATCTTGGTTATGATTCGGGTTGGCCTGATTCTCTTTATGGCAACACTTGGACTGTACGAGACAGACCCTCAAAACCTTGCTATCATTGGGCTGTTTGGGGTTGTTTTGCAACTGATCTTACGAAAGCTTGGTACCAAATACTTGTCAGCAAACCGAGTCCATGCTCTGGGCGAGGCAACCGAACACAAAGATGCAAACGCTAGTTGTAGGGCTGGCGATGTGGATCCTGAAGAGAACAAGTGGCCAAACGTGACCCATGCTGTCGCTCAACCTGCCCACCAGAGTGGTGAAATGAAGGCGTAGAGCGATGTAGGATGCTTTGCCTATGCAGTACAGTGTATGGTGGCTTCTTTGGCACTCAGTTTCTCAGGACAAACGGAAACTAGGATATTAAGTTAGTCTTCCTCTTCAAGCAAAGGTATGGATGATGCTGGGCTCTGGTAACGCTATGGTCAAGCTTGCCCATGTCCCCCCGAATGGCAGCTTTTGCAAGGATGCAGAGAACTAATAATGAAGACACTTTCTTGAACGACTCAACTCATTGTTGACAGATGACAGTATTAGTACGAGGTTTGAGGATTGAGGATGCCAACACTCTGGCTGGTTACCCGTCCGGTAGCCAGCTAGCCTACCGGTATGCATGACTAACTATGCATAGTGCGTACTAGCTAGCTAGTACTACAGTATTGCCATTGCGCCACAGATTCATATTCCATATTATTCATTATTCATACATGCCTCGCTGGCTGGTACTCCTACTGGAGCTAGCTACTAGTAGAGCGCCTGAACTGCGACCCTGCAGTTGAATACATGTAGCAGTTCTGACGTTCTGACAGCCGTCTAGTCTGGAGATACCCAGCAACCCGGTACTGAGCAACGAATTACAAGCTACGCGATTTTGAACGAGCCATTGCTGGTAGAGAATTGTTCTTGCATGATCGTAGTATACTTTGTCCGTACCATCGGTATCTTTTCAAATTACGACTAAACATTTGATAACCATTTTAGGCAAAAGATGCTAATTTTGACAGAATGTTTCGAAAGGTTTTGCTCATAAGTCTGCATTTATATCTTAATAATGAGGTCAATGCATAGATTTCTGCCTTCTCTTTGGCTCTGCTTTCAGTCAAATCAGTTAAGGTGGATAGCTCTTTACTTTGGTAGACAGACACACCACTTTGCTTGCCCACCATTTTTCATTTTCCTGGAAGAGTTTGGAATTCATCAAGAGAATCCACCTCAATTCTCACACTCCTGGAAGTTCATCAACAGCACTCAACAACCCCCCAATCGAGCTGATCAACGATCATCCGGGAGCTTCTTGCCGAGTCTACTAGTACTTACTTCGTTTCCTTCTATCTATCTCCTATCTCCTGTCTCCCTTTGCAGCCATGGATTCTGAACAATCCAATAAGAAGCGCCGCCGCCACAGCGACACTACTGAAGACGATGACGATGAGGAGAAGACGCACCAGACCAGCAAATGCAAAGGGGCCACTACTATCCCCATCTTTCTCAAGAGTGAGTCTAGTTTGCGTTGTAGGTAGCTTGTTTTTGTGTTATAAAGGATGACATTGTGTACGGAGTGAGAGGGGATTGATGGATGGTTGGTGGAGTCATCGCCGCTCCGTGGTGCCGTCCTAACGAATCCTCCGGATTTTTCCGCAACCCTCTAACCGCTCCGTGTTTCCCTCTTGACCAACAACCTGCCAATGCAGAGACCTACAAGATGATTGACACTTGCGACTCGAAGGTTGCGTGTTGGTGAGTTGTTGCGGTGCTCTTTTTGGCGTGTTTCTACCCCGCCTTCGCATCTCCGCTGACCGCTCCGCACCTTGTCTTTTTCTCTTCAGGACTGCCGATGGCGACATGTTCGTGGTCAAGGACCCCGATGTGTTTGCTACCTCCATCATCCCTCAGTACTTTGATCACAATAAGTTTTCCTCCTTTGCTCGTCAGCTGAACTTTTACGGATTCCGCAAGATGCAGTCCAAGCCCATCCGCAACAGTGACTTTGATAGTAACACGGCCAAACATGTGACTTTTTACAATGAAAACTTCAAGAAGGGGCGCTGTGATCTCCTGAAGAAGATCCAGAGGTCCACCCGCGGTGGTGGCAACAACTCCGCCCAGGATCAGCAGCGTGAGGTTCAGAATCTCAAGGACCAGGTTGCTACTCTCGAGACAAAGATCGGTGAGATGACCCAGGCTTTTGAGGAGCGTATGCGCCGCTTGGAATTGGATATGCTCGGCCGGGTAAGTAGTTTCCTCTTTGTCATTCTGCAACAATGCCTCTTTTCTTGGCCCTGACCTTCTGCCTTTTGGAATGCGTGTACAGATGGAGCAAATGATGTTGGCCATGGCCCAGCAGCAGCAGACCCAGTTGCAGTTGCAGCACGGCTCGTCCGTTGGAGGCAGCAGTACAGCCACCAGTGCCTTCCCCTCAATGGCTGCTGCACAACTGCCTCCTAGGGGCTCGGCCCAAATGCCTCCCAGGGGCACATCTACTGGAGAGAGATTTGAACCGCTTCCATTTGGAGCCAGAGGAACCTCCATCAACACGTTGGCTTCAGTTGCCAATAACAGCCTCTTTGGTTCTGTTACTGGTGCTGGTTCGCAATCTGCAGCTGCCGCCGGCAGTGGCGGCTCTACAAAGCCGCCGGCTGGGGCTCCTGGACCTGGTCCTACCTTGCCTCCTCATCCAAAGCAGAAGGCCTTGCCACCGACTCTGCCCCCGCACCCCAAGCAGAAGAACATCTCTCCCACGGGTCTTCCCCGGGGCATGTCGATTCCTCCTTCGCGTCTCAGTTCCTTGGCCCGTGGGCTCTCGCGTGGAATCTCCAACTTGTCTCGTGGCGTTTCGGTGGAATCCAATGCGTCCGCTGTTCTTCTCCGCAACTCGTGGGAAGACAAGTTCTTCAGTATGCTCATGCTGGGTGAGAACGAGGCGGCGGCTGCAGCAGCTGCTCAACAGAATGCGGGCGGAGGGATGCCGTTCAGCGCCGCGGAGATGCAGAACCTTCTGGCCCAGAATCCTGCCGCGGCTGCAGCCCTGTCGGCTCGGGCTCTGAGCATCGGTGGTCCCCAAATGTCCCGCCTCACTTCCGAGTTGAGCTCCGTGTCCAACTCGGGTATTCCTTGAGCGCTGTGGAAACACTGTGTGCAGGTGGTTTAGACATTTCGAAATCAGTGGACACCAGAAACAAGACATTAGTACCTTTTTAGAGGATAGAGCCCGTTCTTACTACCAGGTACAGAGAGCATTCATACACACAACGCAGTTCTGTGCGTTTGTCTAATAGCAAATTACTGCCTATAGTAGCCGCACTGGTGCGTGCCCCAGCTCCGCGTTGCTTTGTGCTACCATATTATGATGAAAGCACCTTAGTTATCTTTGACGATCCAAAATTAATGCTTCTCCCCAACCTCAAAGATGAAAACTGAGATGGGGTCCTCGATACTTCCGGCATTCATTGCGTTACCCCCGATTCCGCTGCGTAGAAAGGGAATGACAGCCCCCATGGAAGATTCTTGCTTCAGACTAACCGGGCCCAAGGTGGAGATGTGGAACTTCCAATTGGTGCCTTCCGCCAATCCATCAGGGACCAAGTCCTCATTAATAGCGTTTCTCACGTCCGAAAATGTGGCTGTCTTGACAGAGTCAACTCTAACGAATCCAATATTTGTGTAAGACTTGCTGCTGTTTTTGCCTCCAGGGCTAGAATTCCGTTTCATGACCCTGCAATACAGATGATCATCCTTGTGCTTCTTGTCTTTCTGCTTTCGTGCTCGTTTTTCGCCTGATTGACTACGGCTTCTTCTCTTTCCTCTGGGAGACATGTGAGTGACATCGATTGGCTCCTTGTCTTTTTGTTTCTTTTTTGGGATGGGGAGAAGTTGTGGTTGTTCCTCTGATCGACTATTCCAATCGAGTCGCATGTGCAGAGGTTTGTCCTCTTCAATTATGGCTGCCTGCAGAGCATGTTGAAATTGAAGGGCTCTTTGTTTCCCTGCGGACCTTGCAGATTTGCCCAAGTGCAAATTTTCCGCCAACCCAGCGTACCAGGGAAGTATTTTGTTGTTCGTCAGCACGGCAAAGGGAGCTTCGTGGCATTCAAAAAAGTAAACCAAATGCTTCTTGCCCAAATTCTTCTTGGCGGTTTGACGAGCACTACCCTCCGTGAGTCTAGGATCAAATACACATGCCGGCCAATAGCCATAGTTTGAACCTCCATTCGCCCAGCACACCTCTCCAAACCTCGATGTGAATTCTCGAGGCAACGAATTGACGATTTCATTTAAACCATCAGAACTCGTTTTGGCAGCTCGAGTTGATCTGGCTCTACAATTGTCTAAATCGTTTTTTTCATCAATGCAAGGAATTATCCAAACAATTGACGTGTGAGACAGTGCTCTAAGCAGATGCAAACAAATGGAGCTTGGCTCATCCCAGCACGGCCAATGCATGAAACCCTGCTACAGAAAGCACATATTGACACAGGCCAAGCAATGCATGAAACTACACTGTTCGTATGCACTCACCACAAAACCAATCATCCTCCGGCACTGCTGATAAGGGTGGGTCCAAACAGTACGTGTGATACTCGTCATTGCATCCCTCACAAAGCATCAAATTGTTGTGATCGTCATCTTTGCCGCAAATCAAACATCCAGTATCGTTGCCTTGGGACCGACCATCCACGGAACTGTAGGTGATAGTAGGACGACCATCGGAACTCAGGTCACCAGTGGCTTGTAGCTGGCGGATTAATCGTCGGCGCTCCTCATCTTCGAGGAACATGCCACTAGCCGACGCCATTGTCAATTGAACTCGTGCTTCTTCTTGTTGACAATGCGAGAGCGTATTGTTGACGAAAAACCGACCATGCACCTGCTTTATCGATTCGAATCAATCGAATGAATCAATCGATTCGATTCGATTCGAATTTTCATATGTGCGTCCTCCACTGAGTCCCAGGGAACGCCTCCGAAAACCACTCTCGAAGTGCCATTTTCTCATTAGTTTTTGATTGCTCCCACGATGCCGGAGCAATCAACGTCCACACTGAAGCAATAGTCTAGAAACATGGGTACTAGTAGCTATCGAGCCAAGGAAAACTATGAGAGTCTGGTTCCACCCGCATCGGTTCTGGCACGATTTGCCTTGTTTGTGAATGGGATGGCTCGAGCTGTCATCCTGCCTTTTGGACCCACTCTCGTGTATCATTTGGTGCATGTCAAGGCCGAGGTGACGTCGAGAACATGGTCAGCAATATCTTTCAAGCTTGCCTTGGTCTTCATGGCTTTTTCCATAGGATATTCGGTTGGCAAAGACTTGGCCAAACGATTGCCGTTATCCAAGCAAGATCTTCATCATTATGTCGCTCGACTTGGAGGTGCCACTATCGCCTTGCATCTATTCTCTTGTGGAGCTGGACTCACATCAGTCATGTGGTTGGTTATAATCCGCTTTGTATCGGCAGTTATGGTGGGAATCCTTTGTTCCATCACAGACCAATCGTCGATTCCCGAAGAAGACTACACGACAACAGTGGGAAGCCCGGTGAGCAACATTAATTCCACCGAGAAACAAGGAGAGTCACGTCCCACCATAATATCCTCGGCAACTGCCAAGGTTTTTCTGACGGGTTTTGCTGTATCGATACTGTCAGGGGGGATTTCTTATCGTTCCCTTTCGGCGGAAGAAGCATTCGAGGTACTCAAAGGGTCTTACAGCTACGCTTGGTCACCAGTGTTTTTGGTGGTAACCACTGTGATTTGTGAAATTCTGCTAAAGCAGGCGTTCTCAGTAACAACCAAAGGAGATCATTCTGGTGGCGGGCTTCGGAAATTTGTACAACGAGTCGTAGAGGGGAAAACCACCAGCAGTCAACAACAAAGAGTCAGTTTCAAAGAAGACGGAGAAATGCTCCTGGGGTCACCCAAAAGTGACAGTTTGGACCCTTTGCGTCCCAGAACAGGTTCGTTAAACAGTGTCGCCACTGAAGGCAGCGAGTTTTTTGACTGCCAGTCAGATATATCAGAGGAAAACTCCACTTCCAAACTCTTCCAGGATGAAACTGATGTCGGCCAATATGAGGATGGGATATGTTGCTATTCGGATGGAACTCCAGCGTATGTGACACCTGGGGGCACAACTTCCGTCCCCCCGAAGCACTTTATCGATGATGCCAGGGGTGATCGCAACAAAGCCTTGACACAGTGGCAAAAGACCCAGAATTGGAGACGAGAAGCAAACGTGTGGAAAATACATACCATTCCAAACAAGTCGTACTCTGTGATCAAGGATGGATATCCGCATTGGATTGTTGGCCATAGCAAAAAAGGTCTACCCTGCGTTTTTGAACAACCTGGGAAAATGAATGCGAAGAAGCTTTTCTACTCAGACAACGGGTGCACAATAGACGACATGGTACATCACTACATTTTTTGCCAAGAGTTCATGCAGAATGTTCTTTGTCCTTCTCCAGAGCTGAGAAAAGTTGCGGGCAAACAGAATGAACCCTACACTGCCGCTGATTACGGAATCGTAGTTGTTATGGACATTGCCGGGGCCGGTGTGTCCTTGCTCAGTGCTGATATTCTGAGATATCTCAGAAAAGTTGGAGAAATCAATGCCGTGTACTATCCCCTGTCGATCAAGCAAGTTTGTGTTGTCAACGTCCCGTTCTTTGCCGGTGCTGCTGCTTCAACCATCAAGAAGGTCTTGCCAGATTCGGTCACGTTAGATTTACTAAGCGGCAATTGCATTGACGGTCTCCGAGAGCACATGGATGACGATCAAATTCCACCAGAATACGGTGGCTCGAGTCCATACAAACTGGGCACCCATCCGTACGAGAAGCAATTGGAGGCTTTAGTTGCAAAGGCTGCTTTGGGTGGAGCGGAAGAGAACAATGATGACTCGGCAATTGTATCCTCAACACCGGCGGACATGGACGGACCCCACGCCGAGACGACTGCAGATGGTGACGCTGTCCCTTCGAACGCCACCGAGAACGAAAGTGACCTGCGACGCAGGGGTGCCGGTGTGAGCTTTGAGTCTGCAGAACCTGAGATGCCAAAAACACGTTCAGTAGCCGAAGGGGGTGTTGCTGTCAATGCTCTGGCTTTTGTTTCCTTCTATTGTGCCATTTGGAGTTGTGCCCAAGGTGCGATCGAGATCGCAATCCCGTTGTGGTTGTCATCACCAGTGCGTTTTGGTGGTTTAGGATACACTCCATCCATGAGCGGGGCAACTATGTTTGTGGCTGCATTGGTGGTTTTGTCGATTTTGAGAACGAAGGCATCTCAGGCCATTTCTTCGATTCCTCGCAAAGACCCCCTGCGTGCACTTCGCATTGGGTTGGGCATCGAGTCAGCAGTGCTGTTCGTGATGACCATGATGCCCATTTATCTAAAGTGAGTCGAGTCGGGTTGCAGCTTACGACAATGCTGCTTCAGAGTCTTGTAACAGTGCTCACAGCTTTTGCCCCGCTCTTCTATTGTAGTGCTGACCACAACACAACAATCATCACTCCTTTGACAATCACTCTCTTCACAATTGGAGCTATTGCCTGCCTTTTGGGTCGATCTGCAGAGGCCATCTTGCGTGCAAAAGTATCTGCTGGGTTTCCTCCACAGTCTGGTTCCAACGGAAATTCCGGCCTGGAAGCACTACTGGCTGATTTCACGAGTGGACGATCGGTCGATTTGCTATGTGTCGTGGGTGAAATCGTTGGAGTGCTAATTGTTTCACAAGTCTGGGCGCTGGCAATCAACAGAGATAGACCATCCAAGTATGATGGATCTCTTTGTGTGCTTCTCCCTGCGCTCATGACAAGTTTCCTGTACTTTGTTTCTTTCTTCCTCCTCCTCTTGGATGTCACCAACAAGGTACGTTGCAACTTTCTGTTCGATCATGTTCGACAGGGAGCGTGAATAAGGCTAACGTTGTGGTGCTTCGAAAGTCCTCCAACCAAGCGGTTTCAGACGACTCTACAGACCTAGAACTGGGGAACGTGCCCGAAAGGAAAGCAGTGTAGACAAATCAATCATAGGAGCGCGATGTCACAGCCGGTCGATGACATTGGAAGTTTGTCAGTTTTATCGGAAACGTGTCTAGTGGAAACATCTCTGAGTGAAGTGTCCTCGACTCAACGAAGCTGATACACACAAAAAAGAGGTCCAAGCTAGAAAGAGATCCGAGGATCATTCGACCATCTGTGCTTGGCTTTGAGGCCCGTCGATTTCCCAACCTAATCCGCATGATTGTCCCGAAGGTGCTACCATACCGGACTTGGGAAGGACGAAAACAGTACCCGGTATCTCACTGCTGACCGCGGTGTTCCTTTCAAAGTCTCTTCCATTGCTCGCTAGCTAGCTAGTAGGTCTTCCACTATTGTAGTACTTCCGGTAACGAGTGACTGCAAACAGTCGGTTCTGTGAGTTTGGTGTCCTTTGAAACGGGGCCAATCGCTGCAGTCAAGGCAGTCTTCTTTGATAGAAATTTGTCGTTGTATTTTGCGGCTCGCTGGCTATTAGAAAAGTGTACTGTTAGCTATCCTGTTGACAGTTTACACCGGTTTAGCCGAGCAAGTCCAAAGGTCTTTCTTCCATTTTTTAGCAAACGGTGCGCACGACGACGTGACCGCCAACGATTTTTCTTTGGGAGATCGATTTCTTCTTCATTTCCAACCTCCTGATGAACCAGAAGGGGAGCAAACACCAAGCCAAACGTATATCAAGAGCAATGACAGACAGAGAACTACCACAAGGATTGTACAATCAGAGCTGTCAACCATAATTGTAGAATTGAAAGTGTCTTTTGTATGCCAGCCTATTTTTTTGTTTTTGTATTCAACAACCTACATTTGATTATTCATTCGTCGCTTGACGATGGCGTCGCCATCGTTGTCGACCTCGGCAACTCTCAACAAAAGTGATTCGACAACCAGCAATGTTAACAATACTGAACCAAACAGCATTCGGAAATCTTCCAATGCGTCATCGAGCATGGGTGGAAGTATGGACAGTGAGACTGCTAGACTGTTGAATTCTCTGGGAAGCGTCGGGAGCAGCCTGGCCGATGTGGGAACTGGAATCGATGGGAATGGCGCTGCTTCAGCAGCAGCAGCCGGAGGGAAAGAAGGAGACAAGACAGCAAAAGAAGCTTCTGACACAACAGCAGCGACTATCACAGCGACCGACGATGACGGCGAAGCACAATTTCAAGTGCCTGCCACGGTCCCACAGCATCACCATCTCAAGTTTGCGTCCTCTGCCGACGACCCCAACCTTCATTCCTCGCTACCAAAACTGTCACTTCCCACAGAAGAGAACGGAAGTCTCTCCAGCAGCAAAGGATCTTCCAGAATTTCAGAAAGGCGTCTTCCCAGCAAAAAACGAAAAATGTCATACGAATCCTATGATGCAGCCGTTGCCTCTGGGGACAGCGCGGCTGACAGAAGGCGAAAAATGTCATGTGAATCATTTGGCTCCGCTATCATGAACGATATGAGCTTTCTGAGCAGGAGACGAAAAATGTCGTACGAATCTTACGACTCGGCCATGGGAGACAGTTACCTGGGATTGGCCACTCTGGACAGTGGCATTGTTCCCAAACTTCCTGATGTTCTCAGTGTCGCCACCAAAGGATCAGGGACTTCCGCCGACAATCTCCCTTTGCCAGCCGTCTCGGCTCTGGATCATCTGGACGCCTTGGGTGATGACGGAGCCGAGTTGCCAACAACCGCTACCGTGGTAAAAATAAGACCGCCGGATGAAGGATCAGCTTCCAAACAATATGCAGCAGCAGCTGCTGCTGCTGAACCTCGAGGCCCGGACGACCAGAGCGATGGGGACGCCACATTTACATCTAGTGGACACCGAATACTGATGGAAGCAATCATGATGACAAGTGGCGAAGATATGGGACGCAGAAAACGATTCGAATCTTGGGGTGGAATGTCGGATCTGTCGGTTCATATGGGTGGAACGGACACAGCCGCAGCCATTGCCGCATCGGCGCTTCATCACACCGGAATCTTCGATGACGTGACGGCTGCTGCAAATTTTGGTGGGGGGTCGGTGGCCTCCTCTGTCACGGACGACCACCCGAAACCACCTGCAGAGACAGCCACTGATGGCAGGGACCGGACAGCATCCATGTCAGACGGAACCTTTCCCGTCCCAGCATCGTTGGATGGAGTGGAAATCTCTAGTGATTTGCAAAAGTTTGTAGCGGCCGCAGTGGCGTCGGTCGGGGATACACTGGCAGAGTTGGCAGGCAATATAGAATCTGTTACTGCAGCAGTGCACTTGGACAATAAACCATCAGCAGCCGCCGCCAAAGATGATGATACACGACAAGGAAGTGAGGTCAGCAGCATTGCCACCCAACTGATGCTTGGCACTTCGTTGGACGATCTGCCGAAAATTCCGTTCGGAGACAGCTCCACTCAACCGTCGAACCCCGACAAGAGCGTGAATGCAGGAATTTCAGTGGATTATGATGCAGTTGCAGCTGCCGTTGATGCGGCTCATGCCGCCACTGGGGATTTGGACCTCTCTGCCATTGAAGGGGCAATTACAATACACGGGCAAATGTCGTCAACTGCTAGTTCCATCTCGTCGGGCGCTGGAAAAGCAAAATGGATGCGGAAATTACCCACACACGGCAAAAAAGCTTCCACCCATGCACAGTTGCTAAAAAATGTTCCCAAATCTTTACTGTCAGAAAAGGAGCAAGAGGAGCTCCACGAGCGAGCCAGAAAAGCAGCTGGATATGTGCCACCTTCACAATCAGGTGAGCCGTCAACTCCAAACAATCGTGCTCTGCCACCGCTCAAAAAGCGAAAGCGAATGACACCGGAGCCTGCAGTGGCAAAGAGCAGCGCACATGAAACACCCAAAATATCCAACACTAGCTCCAGGGTCGCGGACCAACTGCCAAGTGTTGTGGTATCAGCAGCGGCAAAAACTTCGGGCGCGAAATCTGGGAACAAAGAGAAATCTACACAGAAATGGGACAGTATGTATGATTGTTTGCTTCAATTCGTACTAGACCGGAAGGAAGAAGAAACGGCCGGAGCATCTGAAGAAGAAATCGCCGATTGGATATGGGATGGTAATGTGCCGACAACCTATAAAACGAAGGACGGAAAAGCACTCGGTAGATGGATCAACAATCAGCGAAGCGCCAAGAGCAAGGGCACTCTGAAAGAAGAGAGGGAAATTCGACTTGTGAATGCCGGTCTCAAATGGAGCGTTCTGGCATCGAACTCGTGGAATGAAATGCTGGACGAACTTGGAATCTACATTGCAGAATACGTGAGTTTGTGTTAGGGCTGTACTGGGGGCTTGGCAAACGCTGATGCTTGACTTCTCACGTTCTCTTCTGCATATCGCTAGACTAAGGACGGCAAAAAGTGGGATGGTAACGGTATGAGTTTCGAAAGCACCTCGCGAAGCTATTGTTTGGCTCGGTTTGTATCCTGACTATCGTTTCTTTCTTTCTGATCAGTGCCCACGAACTACCGAATCAAAGCCCGAGCCAATGGGAAGAAAATGAGCGAAGAAGATAAAAATCTTGGTCGGTGGGTCAACCGACAACGAAGTCTCTATCAGGCTGGAAGACTCCGCAAAGATAGGCAGTTGGTACGCAGACGGTTTGCTGGTTGAGGTACAGTTTTTGAATCGTGATCTTGTCGTTCTGACAGACTTTGTTCTCTTGTCACCGCTCAGGCACTCGAAAAGATCGGTCTGAAGTGGTCCATGCTGGCAACAACTTCCTGGGATGCAATGTACGAAACTCTCTTGGAATATGTCAAAGACAAGGCAAGTTGGTCAAGTGAACCCGTTTTCGCTTTACTGTGTTCAACTAACAAGTTGAGTTCTTTCTGGTGTTCCAGGAGACCAAAGGGGTCAAATGGGACGGCAACGTCCCTGCAAACTATCGCACGGATGATCATCCTCCCAGAGCTCTTGGTAGGTGGATAAACAGACAGCGTTCAACCCACGTGAAGAAGAAGCTCAAACAGGAGTACGTTGACAAGCTATCGAACTTGGGTTTGAAGTGGTCGGTACACGAGCGTCCACGAATCGGTGATCCTGAAGTTCCCAATCCAGACAGCTCAACTAGTGGCGTGGTTGCTCATACGGCAAGCGTTCCTGCAACCATTGCAGTCCCTGCCAAACAATCAGATAAGACCCAAGACGGTCTAGCAACACAACCAACGGTGCCAGCAGCACAACCCAAGGCTCCAGCAGCACAACCAAACGTTCCAGCAGCACAACCCAAGGCTCCAGTGTCACAACAAACAGTCCCAGCAGCACAACAAAAGGTCCCTTTGCCTGTCAGGGTAACGTCAGTGCGTTTCGACGACGAAAAGGAGGAAAGCAAAGGCAACAATCAAGTAAGCAAGCCGCAGCCAAAGACGGACAATAGTGCAGTTGACGAAAAGAAGAAAACCAATGACAACAATCAGGTACGCAAGCCAAAGACAGATTCTGGTCCAGTTGTCGTTGACTGCAGTTTACGAGTTGTCAACCCTGCTGGTGTTGTTGCTGGGAGACAGCAAGTCGATAGCAAAAAGGTTGCCTCCCCACAGACAACCGGCCAGAGGAAAACCAACTGTGACAGTGCTGCATCAGGCCCAACCTCGCAAACCCAATCTGCGCCGCCCAGTAAACCGAGTGTTGTGACTGCAAAGAGTTAGCTCGATTCAACGCTAAGAGTTGTGCGAAGTGCTGTGGGCTGGCTATTGGTACCCTGATTGTATGTACTAGTATGTACTAGTATGAAAAGGCATCAGACAGCTAGCTATGTAAACACCTCAGCTATGTAAACGAACATCAAGGAACGGTCGGTACGGCACTGTACCCGGTACCGGTATTGTCTTAAAAAGTAGGCTGGCATCGGCCCGAGCATTGGTGATGTTATTGGGCTGTGTAGGTCCAGGTGCTCGTCCTGGAGTCCCCCGTTGTTGGGCGACAGTCCGAGATATGGTCATGGCTCACACCGGGATACCTTGTGGTGTCCCCAGCTTCAGCATCCACTAGTGTTGAGCCTGCCACATGTGGTCCAGGAGTCCATGTTGGTCCTGGGTTGCTTGGGCCCACGCAAGCCGCAAGTGACTCATTGTTGGTGCAATACTGCTGCCTCTTTCTTCGCATCCTCCAGCACTTCCGCGCCTTCCAAGGATCCACGTTGTCACTAAATTAAATGTACCGGTGCATGCAAAACCTGTACCATACCAAGCGACAGAATCTTCAATATCCTTGTTTTGTGTGAACGTCTCCGTTTGTTGGAACCCAAACCTTTTAGAGCCCCGCAGCTTGAAACATCAATAGTGACAATGAATCTAGATAGCGAGCTAGAGTTCTAAGGCTATATACCGGTTGCACTGTTGCACTGCATACGCTGAAAGAATCAAGCGGGCCCGAACCACACGAAAAATGAATGTCATAGCAATGAGTAGAGGACTTCTTAAAAGTACCATAATATTGACTTCTCTGATGATTTTTGCGTTGGTGTTTCTTGTCTCAAAACAGCAGTGACCCGTCATCGCGAAATTGACGCTCAATGTACCGTATCAGCGCACTTTTTAGCACCTTGACAACAACAGCCTTACAAATTATTGACAGCCCAGAAACCAAACAGAATTGTTAAGAATACTCCACCAAAGGAAAAGATAAGAATGGGAGCATCACCTCCATCCAAAGTGGTTCCAACCCGATCTCCAACCTTCTTGGCATATCGACGACGAGGACCGGAGCATTGCGGGCAACGGAATCCAGGTCCCTGTTCCTCAAAGTACATGCCTGCACATTCAGCTCTGTTGTAGATGTATCCACAGTCAGCACAGACCCACTCTCCTTGCCAGAACTTGGACTCCTTTTCTTCTTCCTCGGCCTTGCTTGCAGCGGACTTCTTGTTTCCAAAGACATTCAGTGAGGTGACCGGTGGTGCTGCCACGGATCTTGACTTGACTGGGGAATTAATTGCAGGTGCGAAGGCAAACGCATTGGACGCCAGGACGGCAAAGAGAACGAGAAGGAATGATTTCATCATGGTGGTTTGCTGAACGTAGATCGTTGAGTGGATGTATTAGGATGAAGAAATGACACTGCGAAGGGTTGTCAGGTTGTTTCAGAAGTCGACAATAACCCATCCTTTTGATAGAGTCAGAGAGGATCTTTCGTCTTTTGGTTGGGGGTTGACTTCTAAACAACACGTCAGTGAACCAGCAAAGCTGCCTCCAGAAATTGGACGGAAACTTCCAGTCCAGAGTCTAATCCCGCGCCTCTGCTCCCTAACGATGGGGAATGGCGTTCACCGAAAGAGCAAATTGTTTGTTTAACACCTCTCGAATTTAGTCTTTGAATTGTCTTGAGCTTAAATCTCACGCTCAAGCTGAAATGTCACTTAAAGATTGCAATTTCAGTCGCCCTATGTAATTTCAGCACGTATCACGCTTATTAACACGGGGCTTAGTGCAATTTCAGTGTCGCCATGTAATTTCAGAACGTCGACTTAAATTGCACTCTCCGACTTAAATCATACTGCTTTAAGAGAAGAGCCTTGGATTTAACAGCCGAATCCCTTAAATTTTGTTGTTTCGGTAGGCGCCAATGGATTTCTCCATCCCCCAGGTCCCCCACAAATACAAAAATCTATCTTTTGCCCAGGTGCCGACAAAAACAGAGGGTGGCGGACCAAATTTGTTGAAAGCGAGTGCTTCCCTTGATGTTAAGAGAATGAAGAGCAGCTGTTTTTTGCTGACATCGTCCACAAACTCTTGCGGCTTCCTCGCTGGTGAACAGCAAAGTGTTAATAGAGCATCATCTGCATGCTCTTTCAGGTGCCTATTACCTAGCTAGCTAGTGCTGCAGTTGTCGCGTAGTGTACTGGTTTTTTGTTGTTGTTGAGGATACACGGGACCACTAGCAGGGTCTACACGGATGCTGAAGTATCGTGGTTTTCTCTGATCCAGTTTCAGGGCTTTTGACGCTCGTTCGACTCCAAGGCCAAGCACAGAACGCTTGCTACAACATTAAAAGACCCCTTCTGCTTGCCAAGATTAGTCACCATGGATCCACAGCTTCACTATGATTTTGGGTTGGAGATATCGCAGGCTGTGTGCTCCTATGCGCAATTGTACATTTGGCCTTTGGTCCTCATGGGTATCCTGAGCGTTGTGACTGTGTATCGTCGCGAAATGAGTTGCAATCGAGTCTATTACCTACAAGACGGAGACCCCAACAACAACTGCTCACGCGAAGGAGACAATCATCAATCCGCTGCTGATAACGGTACCAGTACGATTTCTAGAAGGGCTGCTTCTAGACTGTCTTGGCTTCAATTCGACAGAGGAGCTGATCCGGAAGTGGAGCAGGCGCTACTAGCAGGGAGAGCAGCGGCTCAGGCCAAACGATCGGCTCGGGCTACCAACTCGGAAAGAACGGCTTTGAAGTGGTCCAGAAAGGTTAACATGGTTGCTGGAAGACTAGCAGCGACTTTACCACAAACCATTCGGACAAGGCTTGCCGAGTCCTCCTTCAACTTCTTCCCAATCCACAAAGGTCGTCGCCGTGTCACGAACACAACGCCTCTTCACCCCGAAAATTTTCCATCCGATGTACAAGTCAACATCTTTAGCTTCTTACATCCTCAAGATGTCGCCAGGTTTGCTTGCGTGAGTCGAGCCAGTAAAGAATTAATCGACGGACAGGGACCCACCACTAAGGCTCTTTGGAAGACACTCTGGCAGCGTGATTACGGGTGGCTCATACAATCTTGGGATGTTGGAAGGATCACATTTCAAAGATCAAATGTCACGGATCCTCCCTTTGGCAAAGACTTCTATTTCCGGTTCGGACTCTGCCATCTCGACTATCTACTAGCGGGGTTCAACTCACCCGAAAGGTGCCTGATTGGTTTGCATGGATGCATCTTTGACATTACCGACTTTTTCACCAGTCATCCTGGTTCACCCGATACTCTATTGGTGCATGCAGGGAGGGATGCCTCCAAAATGTTTGATGACATGGATCATTCCAGGAGTGCTAGACGGTTGGCCAGGGAATTCTGCATTTCAGTGGATGTATCCGCCACGGGCTCCTTTGGATCCAAACCGACGATTGCCTTTCCAGCTGATGGGCCCATTCCAGTTCTGGTGGAGGCTAGTCCAGTCATTTCAAAGAAGCAACGGCGAATGCAGCGGAAAGAGTGCTTACAACATATATACACGGTGTTTGCAACAGAGGCAACACAGGAGCGGAAAAAACACGCGTTACAAATGAAAGCCAACCCGAATGTGTTGGACTGGAATGTATTCTATGACCCCTTCCAAGGGGCGTGGAAGGCGTGGTATACAAACAAGAGAGATTTTGAAACAGTTTTCGTTTGAAAGTCAACAAAAAAGCAACACACCTGCGGCCTCAACAAAACATGTCAATATTCACAACACACGCTAAATGGAAGATATACAACGTAAATACACACAGCAAGGTGATCGCAAACGGGGGTTTGCTCATCTGTCCTCCACGTAACTATATTACAAAAATACACAAAGTGTATGGGACATTGCACCAGTACTGATAGATCCAAACCATAGAAAATAGGAGGAAACAACAACGACGAGCTACTGCCAATGAATGGAAGACGTCCATCACTTGAGGGGCGAGAGCAGACAAACAGTTGTTGATCTGTCCAATGAAGAAGCCTTCTGCTTGTTCATCCGTCTGCTCCAGACAGAACCACTCTTCCACCTTCGCAATTACATCTTCGGCATCCGCAGAAGGGTTGTTGGAGAGTCTTCAATGCCCACATCACTCATGAGATGAAGCAGATTCAAAATGAGCCCTGCAGTCTTGCAAAGTGCATTGAAGGCTTCACACACCAAGGAACAAAACTGCGGCTCAATTCCAAGCCTCCCATTCCCTCAACCATCTTCGTTCAAAACAGAGCATCCAACAGGAACCGACTTGAGCCCAGCCCTGGAAGCAAAGATTCAAATCAGATTGGAATAACATACCTCACAAGTTAAGAGGAAAGCTGCGGGTGGAAGTGGCTTGGGATCCCGACCAAGGATGAAGTTAAGTCAGTGTGAAAGAAATGTCCCAATGAGATGAACAAGCAAGATGTTGTCCAGGTGTCTGTCGCCCACCATGCGGCAAGAAGCTACGGAAACAGGCGATGGGCGGCAGCTCCTGGCAAGATAATTTGGAGGACAAGAATCACTCAGTTTTGGTTTTTCCAGGATTGTTGGATGATTCAGGCCGAGTCTGAGCAGTTCGACTAACATGTAGAAAGCAAATTGCAACCACCAAGAGAAAAGGCATCACCTTGAATATCATGGTAATTGTTTCTAGCCCGATAGCCACAGCAAGTATTTGTGCTTCATCATTCACATGGGGATAGGGTGTCCCCGTGGCCAAAAGCTTCTGACACTGTTCTTGGATGCTTTCCGCAAGGGGAGACACAAATTTGCAGAGCGGATCCCATCCATCTTTGGCATTAAAGACCAGGAGTTTGTCAGCAGGAACAGTGGCTTTGACCTCTGCGACAAAGTCCTTGTAGAATTGTGGCAACAGGGAAGGATCTTCCATGTGCAAGTTGGCATTTTCAAACATTCTCCCTACAAATTGTGATGAACGTGCCATGGGACCAATCAAAGTGAAGGGAACGTGCTCACTTGCCAAGACTATACGCCGAATTGTTTTTGCAAAGCTGTTAGCCCACTGCTCGGGAGAATCGCGTACCGTCAAGACAACCTTCGCATTGGGGTAGCGTTGCATCTGGGCTTTGTAATGAAACACCGTAGGTGTATCTATGGTAGCATTGAAGCCATCTGCAGCAATCCCCCCCAGAACATCATCTATTGAAATGGATTGTTCAATCAGAAATTTGTACCACATGTCCTGGTGTCCAGGCGTCTCCATGCACCCATCGATCATGTGATAAGATTTCATGTTCAGCAATCCCATGGCTGTTCGAAAGCTAGCTGTCCCTGTTCGTGGTAGACCTGCTCCAATAACAAAGATTGGCTGGGGCAACGGCTGCTTCTCTGCCTCCATGGTGCCTCCCAGTAACCAGTTGTAAAGAAAGTTCCATGTGTTCATCCGAAATTCTTCTCCCCCATCTACCAGTTCATTCAAGGCACCATTATCTGCTGGAGCCGCAACAGTGGCCACAGAAGCCACTACTAGAAGCTGCCACCAAGATAAAGCAATGATCAGTGGGGCAACAACCATCCTTGAGTGTATGTACCTGTACTGATATCCATGAGGCGTCCTCAAAGATTTGGAGTCTGGCTATCCGTACTGGGTACCAGTACCACTGGCCACATACGGCGCAATCGACCCGTGTTGAGCGCTGACTTCTCAGTCACGGAGTCGAGTGGGGAGTCGAGTGACGAGTCAAGTCGATCATCTATTTTTAACAGTAGCGTTAGAGGTTTGGAAGCAATCCGATGGTCGACGAAGCTTCGACAGTCCACAAAGATCAAGGATCTCGTTAGACATTCACTTCGACAACCACAAGATTAGCAGGCAAGATGGCGAAGAAGGAAGACCCTCCCAAGAAGGACTCTGAAAAGAAAGAGGAGAAGGACAAAGGCAAAAAAGAAGAGGAAAATGCTGCTCCTCCTTTGCCTCCCCTAGAAGCGGCGGGGCGCCGATTGGAGCGTCTCTTGGGCGGTGGTCTCTCGGACAAGGACCGAACGCTGCACACCTACTCCAACCCTGGAAAAGTGGTTCGTCGTTGGTTGGGGACAGCATCGGGTGCTTCAGGTGGAGCTACCTTGGAAGACATTTCGGCCGCTGCTACCAAACTGTTGGATCCAGCAGGACGTTGCAGTGCTGGTCGGGTGTTGTTGAAAGCCGAAACGGCGGCTGAGACGGCCATGGATGTGGAAGGCGCGGAGACACCCAAGATGAAAGAAGCTGGATACTTGTCTTCTTCTGCCGACCGAGAAGTCGAAGGCTGGTTGATCAGTCTCATGGTGCGATTGCTGTGGAAAGACAACAAATTCAGTGAGGCATTTGCTCTGGCGCAGAAGGGAATTGATATCTTGATGGGCTACTTGAACGCCTCGGCTCTCAAAATTACGTCCATGTCGGGAGTCTCGGCAGCTTCGCTCTATCCTCTTTTGGCGCGCATGTTCCGATTCCGATCTCTCGTGGCCGAGTCTCTCAACGACCCGGCTGTGGCGGCCTCTCTGCGTCAGGACATGGCACGGGGCCAAAACATGGCCTGTCTTCGTCGTGATGTTGACTGTCAAGCAACACTCATCAATTTGATGCTCCAAGATTTGCTCAATAATGCACAGGGTCAGTGTGGGATTTTGCTTGTTCGAATCTAATTTATCGGTTGCTCGTTTTGGCTTTCTAACCTTGTTTTTCTTTCTTGGTCTGCAGTGGAGCAAGCCCAAAAGTTGCTGGCCAACTCGACATTTCCCGATTCGGCATCCAACAACCAGCTATGTCGCTATCTATACTACAGTGGCCGCATTCAGTCTCTTCGACTCGAATACACATCGGCGTTCTCCAACTTGAGTCAGTGTCTCCGCAAGGCACCCACCAACACGGGGCTCGGATTCCGAATTGCCGCTCAGCGTCTCTTGATCATTGTGCAGCTGCTCATGGGGGAAATCCCTGATCGACACGTCTTCTTGAGCAAAGGCATGAAGCGAGAATTGAGCCCCTACTTGGCAATCACTCAGGCGGTTCGTCAAGGGGACTTGGGAGTGTTCCATCAGGTGGTCGCCGAGCAAGTCACGCGGCTACAACAAGATGGGACACACACTCTCATTTCACGTTTGGCACAGCAAGTGGTAAAGGCTGGATTGCGAAAGCTTCATGTCAGCTACAGTCGTCTCTCGCTTCAAGATGTAGCGGATCGATTGGGATTGCCCAGTGCCACTTCGGCTGAATTCGTCGTGGCCAAAGCGGTCCGAGATGGGGTCCTCGATGCCACCATTCATCACGAAGAAGCCTATGTGCAGAGCCATGATTTGGTGGATGTATACGCCACCAAGGAACCAGCAGAAGCATTCCACCGTCGTATCGCTTATTGTCTGACAACCCACAATGACGCGGTGCGTGCCATGAGGTACCCACCAGATGCCTACAAGAAACAGCTGGAGGCGAGTCGTGGGAACCGTCGAAAGCGTAATGACGACAAGACAGACGAAGAAAAGGCACAGGAGCTGGAAGACGAACTCGATGAATTTGATTAAAGAGGGGTCCTCTGGTGGTAGCGAAAAACGATCAGTTGGTGTTGCGTTGTTTTTGTGCCAAACTACAGGACGTACGCCACGTAGAAACATGTGTAACTCTAAAGAAAGGGTCTTTCTGCAACTTCTCCAAATGCGCCGACTACCGGTATCTAACTAATGATGGGAGAGCACCGTAGTGGTGGACCCCTGTACGACTGTACTGTATGATACATGTAGCATTATGAAAAGGAAACCATAATAAAACCTGAGAAATTTGTCGCCACACCCAGGTGCACTACAGTAGCAATAGTGATAGACAAAACGTGAAGAGACAACAGTATTTTCTTCAACTAAAGAAAGAATGCTTCTAGCTACTAGAGTACTAATAGAGTGCCCGTAACTTGTATTGTTCTTACCGGTACAGCAGTGTTTACGCCACACTTTGGTGTACTAGCTAGTGGACAAAACATGAGACAACACTACGAACTAGGAAAAATAAGGCAAATTCATTCTACTAGTGAAACAATGCTACTAGAGAACAGTGCCCTTGAATTGTATTGTTCGTACAGGGGATTGTTTGGTTGGGGTAGTGATAAGAGAGGATTCGCCCACGCAATATTGTCAATCTCTCCTAGGGATTGACCCGAAGTGCTGGAGGGCCGGCAGCCGCCGTGGTCGAGACAACGGGAGGGGGCTGGTGTCCCGGGACGGGATAATGGGCCTGAGGCATGGGCTGCTGTTGGGGCATGCCATTGTGTACGCCGTTTTGGCCGTGATTATGGACACGCTTGTGCTGAACCTTTAGGCGCTTGTTTCCAATCTGGAAACCGTTCATTTGTTCAATTGCCGCTTCGGCTGACATGACCGAATCGTAGGACACAAAACCTATAATGATGGAAATGGTGAGCAATAAAAAAATCAACCACTATAAGGATATGTATGCATAATTGGACTCACCAAAACCTTTGCTTTCACCAGTGTACTTGTCGACGTAAACTTTCGCACTAATCACGTTTCCAAACGGATTGAAAGCGGTGGCCAAATCGGCATCCGTCAGGTCATGAGGAAGGTGGTACACAAACAGGTTGGCGCCAGCGGGCCCCTCGCGTGGACGGGGATTAGGCGGCCTCATTTCTTGGGGATTACGGTAGCCGTAAGGAGGAGCAGGTCCATACTGGTGTGGAGGGTACATGTAGGGGTGGTGGGGAGGGTGTGGTGGTGGTGGAGGGTTTCCGGCACCATACGCCGGTCCATACTGGTGTGGTGGCATTGGATACTGTGGGCCACCGGGATGCGCGGCCATTCCCATTGGAGGGGGGACCTGTGGGACCTGGTAGCCTGGATACCCTGGTCCAGCTCCCGTGGCCATGAGTTCTTGTCGTCTGACGTTGCGCATGTGCCTCTGCTGCTTTTGGTGTTTGTTATCAGCAAACTTGACGATCAGGGGCCGTGCTGAACCGTCCATCATGACATTGTTGTTGAGACTTTCAATGGCTTGCAATGCTGCTTCGCGCTTGACATATCTGAGGAAAGCAGCGCACTTGCTGGATCCATCCGCATTTCGGATCATGTAGATCTCCTTGATCTCTCCATAGGGTGCAAATATTTCACGCACTTCTGTCTCACCAGCTTTCCTAGAAAGCATACCAATGAAAAGTTTGTTCTCTGGTACTTTGATAATACACCGCGTTGTGAGTGCACTGTCCATCCCTCTTTGTAGCTCATACCAACCCTACCCCTTAACTTACCTGATGGTTCCGCGGGCTTGACCTGAGCTGGCCTACGAGCACCGGGGAATGTGAAATTGTCATGCAAAGATTCCTGAGCACGCTCTGCGTCACCGGACGACCAAAACGTGACAAATGCGCATCCCCGGTGCAATCCAGTGTGTTTGTCTCGAATGATGGCTACATCCTTGAGTGGTCCAAAGGAGTCAAAAGTGGGAAAGATATCTTCTTCGTTCATGTCTTTGGGGACCTATATGGACGGTTGTGTAACATAACAGATAATAAAGTGTTGGTGCAAAATATGTCAGATCACAAGATTTTGCCGTCATTGCGACCCACCCAAGCGGAGGTGCAGCAATGGGTAGCGAGGGTAGCATGCTTACCTGTCCCACAAAGAGCTTGAGAGGATCGTCCTCGCCTTCGGCCCCATCATTGCCTTCAGAGTCTTCGACTTCTCCTTCACGAGGCTCGTGGTTGTTATTGATGGTGCCTTCTTCTCCATGGATGCCGAGTGCTTGGAACTGGGTTTCCAGCCCTGCGACTTTGGGCGGTCCCATGTTAGGTCCCATGTTATTGTTCTCGACATATACCTGCTGTGGCGGCATGTTGCCATTCATATTTGTGTGCATTTGTGGAGCAACCTTGGTGGATGAGTCCACAACAAAATTGTCAGCGGCGGGGTCGTCGTCGTGGGGCATCTCCCCATTAGCATTTGGTGCACTGGGCTTTTGCTGCATTGTAGAACGGCCTAGTATCGCCAACACGGAAATCTATACTCCACTCACTCACACCTACAAACAGGGAACACAACTACAAAGATAACTCTCAGGGACTAATCTGTTGGAGTTGTAGACTTTGAATCGTCTCTTGCTCCTTTCAAACAGGATAGTAGAGACGATTGAATGATGGTGAACACTTCTTTCCCTCTGATCTTTGCATTGCTGTCGATGGCGTTGGGGAGCTCCAAAGACAAGAGCAAAGTCAGAGCAGGCCAGTTCGAACCGACATATTCCACTTGCTTAGGCTAAATCCGTCGTAACGGAAAAATCGGCTGACGCGAAGATGTTGTGATTATAAGGCATCTGCTGTTTTGACCCCCACCAGAACCGACCAAGCATCTCCGGAACAGTTAAACAAAATTAGCCGGTGAAGCGGATTGAGACTGGATGAAGGGTACCCACGTACCGTACCCACCAGGTACCAGAACCGGTACCAGGTACAGTACCATGCGTACCGTACCGGTAATAGTCAACGGTAGACGTGCAAGTCGAGCTTTCTGAGCTGCAAATGCATCGTCGGCGGGAGGCGGGAAACTAATTAAACTAGCTAGCTTGAGAGCTACTACATGTCTGCAAATCCTTACATTAATATTGCAATATCGCCGACCGCACACGCATCCAATGCAGCCATCATTCATCCCTGCAACACATCCAGCCCTCACGTCTCCTGGAAGCATCGCAGGTACTGTATTGTTGTACTTCAGAGACAATGTCGGGCGCCAACAAACTCCGGATAACGCTGGACCAGCTACGAATGGCAGCCAAAGTAAGTGATCGGTGCTGTTACTGCCAATGGCTTCCATATTGATCATCGGATACCCCTCCACCGATACCCTCGTTGCTGGATAATCTGACAGCTTGTCTCTTGCCTTGCATCCCATCACAGCAAGGATCCAGGTATCAGAATCCTTGCTTCGACAAGATTGAGAGGCTGCTTGACGCGATGGAACGAACTGGGACTTACAACATTCAACCCCTGTACAAGTACGTCAAGGAGGCGGAAGAGTGTTATCAACAAGCAGACATTGAAGAAAAGAAGAAAGGCAAAGCCAGTACCACTTACTTCCTCACGCAATATCTGGACAGGAAAAAATTCAAAAAGGAAGGGAGAAGATAAAAGAGATATAAAATTATCAATATTTATTTTGATTGGAAAACTCTGTCCGTGAGCTACCGGTAGCTAGCTAGCTTTTGTGTGGCGCTGGCTAGCCGGCTATACTACTAGAGTGCTGCAGTACATACCCGACTGCATACCGGTATGACTACTTGTTTCACGCAGCATCAACACATGCGTAGGGGGAGGCGGGGGGTCTTGGTGTTCCCAAGATGTGACAAAGGTTGTGGGCCCTGTTGGTTTCGTTTAGGCGTGGTTATTACGGGCAGCAGGAACTCAGCAACCAACCAAAGGTAAAGCAAGTAGAAGAAATGGGCTAGTGCCAGCGGGTGCCCCTGGGATGAAGCCACATGTGACCTGGCTGCTTACAATTTCCAGTGAGGTTGTCAGAAATAATGGGCTGTGAAGAATGGCTGTCAATCTTCTCAGTCAGGCAGGCTGTCAATTGAAGGCTGCTTATTTATCTGAACTTCAAGTGGGCTCATGATATGGAACGAGGGACACGCTCTGCTGCAGCCTAATACAAAGATAAGATTGAGACTCTGGAGCGGACTCGACTCAGTCCAGGAGAGTGAGTGACAGTACTACCAAGGTAATACTCGGAGAGAGCCAGGTGGTCACTCGAGTCATCCTCTCGAGTGGGCCCGTGGGAGTGGTGCCTGTGGGATGAGCGAATGTGCTCAGGGCGTTCCCAGGATGGCGATACACAGGCAGTTCTCACGTGGACTCGAGAGAACAAGTGCCCACCAAAGATGGCATTGCATGATGTCCAAACTAGTATATTGTAGGCAGGCCACAAAAGTGTTCTCCATGTATTGTAGGCAGGCCACAAAAGTGTTCTCCATGTACTGGACTAAGTGCAAAAAGACGAGGAGGAGGGCTGTCTCACCGATAGTTTACTCAGAATAAAGAGGGAAGCACCTATTTTCATTGTTGTTGCTTGACAGTTTGCATTGACACTGAGCCCCTTTGTTTCGCAACGACTGCACTGAAAGACACTGTTCCGCTAGCTACACACATACAGATGCACACACCACCATCAGTCCTTAGATGATATCGCCATCTGCTTCGTCCACTTCACTTTCTTCCTCTCCCACTGGCTTGGTCGGTGTTGTCTTGGGGCCTGTCCACGTTTCTCGAGCATCATTCTGGGGACTCTTAGGGGTACCAGGTGGTGCCGCCATGCGGGGAGGATGCTTGTTGAACCAATGGTCAGCAATCTGCTCACGAGTGCAGACCCACACATCCCTTCTGTGGGACACACAAAAATCCATGAACTCGGACAAGGCAGCGGCGTATCCAGGCCGTGCCAAGCGACAGTGCAAGCCGACGGACATCATTTTGGGACTTCCCTGCTTGCCCTCATCAATGAGATACCTGAACCATAGGGTAGGTTTCCAAGTCAGCGTGGGACAATATGCAAATAGAATCTGCGCCGAAGAACAGGCTGGCAATTGGTACCGGTACTTACAAAAGGGTCGATTTCAGGTGTGTAAAGAAGTCGGTCCCGTTGGAAAAACCGTTGGGTGCAACAAACCTCATGTCATTCTCACTCAAAGAGTAAGGAATGACGAGATGCGGCCTGTCATGTTCCAGGCTCCAATACGGCAAATCATCCGCGTAGGAGTCAGAGTCGTACTTGAAGCCACCTTCTTCGACAACCAGCCTGCGTGTATCCTCGTTGGGCTATGCAAACAGAAGCAAATAAGGTGAGCGAACCGCCTGTGGAACAAGAAAGACTGCCTGCAATGTTGAGCAATCAGTACACACACACCTTTCCTTGATAAAAACCAGCCGGGCGTTTTCCCTGTTATCGGAAGAAGTTAAAAAGGAATTTCAAAATGCATCAGATAAGGAGACGACACAAAGCAGTGACTATTAGCAAACTCATCAAATTGAGTGCTTACCAACAGTTTTTCGTGGATTTCAATGGTCTTCTTGATATGGGCACGCTGAGTTTCCTCGTCAACATTTTGATAATCGATCCACCGATATCCATGGGACGCCACTTCATGGCTGGATTGGTGGAGCTCATAAGCTACAGCTGGGTTGCGCTCCAGGGCCATACCCACTGCAAAAATCGTAGCAGGCATCTTTTTCTTCTCGAACAAGTTATATAGCCTCCAAAATCCAGCCCGACCACCATAGTCGTACAAACTCTCCATGTTCACATGGCGCTGGCCCTCTTTATTAGGTAGCAGAGAACAATAAGGACATTCTCGTTAGACTTCTCAAACAAGGCAACAGTAGCCAAAGAATTGAAATGCCCAGCTAACTCACCATAGGCTGCTGCCCCCACAATATCCGACAGCAACTTTTCGCTCTCATTATCGCCATGAAGGAGACACTTTTCTGCTCCCTCTTCATAGTTGATCACGAAATTCACAGCTACCTTCGCATTCTTGGGCCACATGGGGTTCGGTGGGGATCCGCCATATCCTTTCAGATCTCGACCGCCATAGCAGGATTTTCCATCATTCTCGTGAGGCTCCATCTTCTCACGATTTATAACACCCAATCAAGGCAGGAGGTTCTCGCTTCGGCTAGACTTCCCACTGAAGCTGGACTTCCCACTGAATACTCCACACACCGAGCAGTCGTTCGGTATTGGTATCTGGTTTCTCTGGTCGGCAGTTCGCGATGGATGAATGACTTCAAGCAAGACTTCGCGTGCCTCCAAGAGTGACTCAGTTGGATCTTTTGCAGTCACAAGGATAAGGTTTTACTGAAAGCTCCCACACCACCACACCACGCATCCACCGGCAAACCCACAAAGGGTCTGCTAGCTGGTACCGGTAGCTAGTCACACGAGAAAACACAGGATGCAACCTCCCAGCTCCCTGGGACAAACGTTCCTAATTTAAAGCTCAGCTCTTCAGGTGCAATTAGATACAGTACTTCGATTCTATTGCTTTTGCGCGGTACCGGTACTACCGGTACCAGTAGGTTGATAGAACCATATTTTGATGATGGGCGATGGATCAGTGAAACCTAACAAGGGGTAGCAATAGTGCGGGCTCAATGGTGACGCACAGCTTCAATCAAAGAATCCAACATCTTAGACCGGAAGATTCCTGATTACGTTTTTCAATCCTCCCAGTTCTTCCAATCATTGTCTATTCTCTCCAGACTTTCCTCGAGTGTCTCGCGAATTGCTTCGTCGTCGTTGAATGATAGAAGATCGACTTGCCGAGTATATCGTTGAGACTTCTCATCTGCCTTATCTGGAGACCACATGAAGTCATCAAAACACCACTCTCCCCACGTCTTTTCAATCTGAGCAAGCTGGTCTTTTATAGGCAACCCCAACAGGTCCCTTTTCCCCAGGCGATCGTCTAGTTCAATCAAATCGGCGTCGCCGATCCACTTCCCTCCCTCTTCCATTTGGTCCATATGACTGTCTAGGTCATTGGCAAGTTTCATTGCGAGATCCACTGGCATCGTCCCTTCAGCTGCGCTACCAGAAGTTGAACTGCTGAATCGAATCAGTCGTGCCCGGATTCGACTCAGCGACGTTTCCAATTGATGCCGGATCTCCATAGCTTCTTGCAATGCACCAATCAGGTCCGAGTGCAGCTCTTTGATGTCCTCAGTAGACATGTGGTGGAACCTCCCCTCTTCCCGCTCTTCATTATTTTGGATGGATGACGATTGAGATTTCGTAACTTCTAATACATCTGTGGCCCCGAACTGCCCTTGGTAAGTGTTCTGCTGCACTTTTGACGGCTGCCCTTTAGACAAACGTGATCTCGCATCAAGCACCAAGGCAACCGACTTGATATCGCCTTGAATCGACGTGACTTTCATTGCTGCGTTGGCCGCAAGAAGCGCGATGAAATGTTCCTGTGTAGCCAAGACACCTTTTTCTCGTCGAAGTTTCAAATCGGAGGAGGTGTTCAGAGATGGGTGTTCGTGGAGCATTGGCTCGTCTGAGAAATAGTGCTCGAGTGACCCCTGTGACCCCTGTGACGTTCTTCGAGAGCTGCCATTGACCGTCTCGTGAATTGGGTCTGACGTATTGTGCATGGATCCGAAACCATTCTCACTTTCCGTGCTTCGTCGAAAGGCCCCTTGAGGAGCATCATCCCTCGAAGCAAGCCAAGCTCGCAGATCCCATACGCCCCAAACATATGCGTCGTTCTGCTGTATGGTGTTATCGTCTAGCAGAGAATTGAATAGCCACTTGCGGTTGGGATTGCTCCATTCGATGATGTCGATGCCTTGGCTGACAAACGACTGTGCACGCACAAACTCCTGAAGCGCGTTGCACGAATCAGGGAAATTGGAGACCATGGAATGCAGCAACATATCCTCTGCCCCTTCCACCGAGCGTCTATCGTCTCGCCGCGGCAGGGTTGCTAAGCCTTGGTCCGTTGTTCTTGACAGCCCATTGGAGTTCGCAGAGTTTCCTTCGAAATGTCCAAGGTATTCGTTTGAAAGGAAATACACTGGCTTGGTGTCTTTTTGCTTGATGTTGTTGCCAAGGGGATAGTGCGGACTACCCAAAACGTCAATGCTGCCGCCACTGTTTCCCTAACACCGCAAAGAAGTTTGATCCAGGCGTTAGCACCAAAAAGAAACGAACCGAAGTGGCAGCATGAAGTGACTTACCGTTGTGCCGAGCCAATCAGAGTCGCTTTGATGTTGAAAGTGAATGCCGGCGAAATGAGGAGCCAAAGGAGGTGGAGGATATGATTGTGTTTTCTGAGGCCTTCTGTTCCCGCGTGGTGAGGGCGTTGTTCGTTGCAGACTTTCATGTCGTGGCAAAACTGTTCGCGACTCCATGTCCTGGTTGCGCTCGCGTGTTCCAGGAGGTGGTGAAGCTTTCTGTGTCAACTGATTCCGTGCTTTCCTGGATAGTTTGTCGATATCTGGGGCAGGCTTTTGGTATGACTGCATTGAAAGGGCCGAGTGCGTTTGTGAAGCCGACACTTGCATGTCGGATTCTGTGGGACGCGTTTGACTCTTCTTCTCCCTCTCGTTGGCCCTTTTCGAAGCGCGATCAATTAAGTCAGACTCTAGTTGCGAGCTCACCGCTTTTGACGCTGCAGTGACATTGTTGTCCTTGGCAATCATGCTTGCCATTTTCTTTGCGACCACGCATGCACTCCTCGTACGATCTGCTGGATTGGAAAAGGTCGATAGGAAGTCAGCTACTCTCTCAAACGTATCCCCCAAGCCCCCGGCCATCTCTCGTGTTGACCCTGCATCACAACGTTCAAGCAATCGATCGAGGTACCAATCGGACCAATCTTCTACTGCCGGATCAAGGACCTCTTTGCAAAAGGCAGCCCCAACTTTCGCCTTGGCATTCCGTCTGCGCAACTCCGCAAAGTCACCAGGATCTTTGACATCTGCCGGGAGACTTGCCACACAAAACTGAACTCCATTAGAGCTTGCTGCCTTTTCGAGCATTCCTCCACTGCACAAGCGTTCTACCGCTGCAACGCCAGCTTCGTCATTGTCGAGACACAACACGACACGGCCTTTCAATGCGGCCAGACGAAGCGTTTCAAACGACACAAAAGGTCAGATGAAACCGAAAAGCACGAGTAACATCCGTCACAAAACGACATTCCATGAATCCTACCTCCATTCAAAGCTGCCATTCTCGCAGCGGCATTTACTTGATCCATGGAAATGCCCGTTCCCATGGTTGCCACGGCTGTCTTGATTCCAATTTCCCACAAGGCCAAGACATCCATGTAGCCTTCCACCAAGATGACTGGAAGGGGCTTGTTGTTGTCGTTGTTGCTTTTCTGTAGTTTGTAATGCTCCATGACAATGTGACGTCCATACAGAATCTGCATTTTTTGAAAGACTGCCGTTTCGGGGCTATTGAGGTACTTTGGCGCCTTGAATTTTTTGCCGTTGTCGTTGTTGTTGTCGTTGTCGGGTTCATTGTATACCGGTAGAACCCGTCCTCCAAAGCCCACCACCTTTTCGCCTGTACGATCAAAGATTGGGACGACGAGCCTCCCCCGAAAGCGGTCCATAAGTGAAGAGTATAGCACTTGGTCTTCTTCTGAATCTTCTGAATGCCCTACAACACATCCATCCATTGGTTAGTACCACAGTCCACACATTTTCAGACGAGTTGCAGCTAAAGTAGTCCACAAAAGCCGAGACTGACATTAAAAAATCGTACCTGAACTGTTGGTTCCAACATTTGCTTTCTTTGGTCGCTTTTGGTTATTGACTGATTTCCTTTTTTGAATGGCCAATCCCGATTCTAGAATGTGTTTGGCTGTAAAGTTCAATGTCTGCAAATGCTGCACCAGACTGGTGGTTTGATTTCTGGCATTGTGTAGATTGTTTCCAAAATACATGTCCGGAGCATACCCTAGAGCAAATGCTCGTGCAGCATCGGGTGTGACGAATCCCCTGGATTGCAGATAATACCTGGCCACCCCAGCAAATGGCAATGTCAAGCATTTGGCGTAGAAGGCCGCGGCATGTTGGTTCATGGCAAAAATGCGATTTCGCTTTTCAATGTCTTCCTTCGTACTAATGGTGGACAACGTCGTGGTGGTAGACAAAGTTCCGCCAGTGGAACTAGCAGCAGCAGCAATGGATTTCGGACGACGGTCATGGTTTCCGGATAGATAATTGTCGACGATTCGCACCGCATTGATAAATGGCAGTTCTTCCTGTTGGGTCGTTTTGTGGTACTGTCTGACAAAATGAAAGATATCACCCGCCGCTCCACAGCCAAAGCACTTGTAGAGTCCTCTATTTCCATCAAAACTAAGAGATGGGTCTTGATCCTTGTGAAAGGGACAAACCGCGGTGGCTCGATGGTGACCTGTTCTCCTGAACTGATCTAAATCATAGCCTGTCTCCAAGAAATCGACCAGGTTCACTTGTTCTTTGATCCCATTCAACTGATCTGCTTCAATCCAACGACCGGGCGACTTTTTGGGTGATTTCTGGTTGGATGATGATTGTGTTTTGGGGGATACAGGTCTCACCTGGTTGTTTTCTTCGTCTTGACTGTTGGTACTACCCCCCAAAATATTATTGTTGCCAACCGCTTGCAATCCCAACTGGCGGACTCGAAACGGTAGAGGGGTCCCCCATCCAAGTACCAGCTGGATATGGAACGCTGCCAGAAGTGCTGTGATGGCGATGAGTGACACTGCCTTACTATTATTGGTACCAGTATGCATAGCTGTCCCTTGCCATCTTGATGAGGAGCTTATTCTCATTCGAGATGAAACAACGGTTATAGTTTATTGGCTCCAGAAAAAGTGCGGCTGGACCCGAACGATCTTTTGGATCTTCGCATTCGCGCGTTTGACACAAAAACGTGATTGACTTAATCACGAGAAATCTGATGACGTCATCGCCCTCGAGTCTGAAAATGCTACTAGTAAGTAAAATCAGTCCTGAATTACACACAACTTCAACTTGACGTAGACTTAGTACTAGTACCTACTCGGTCCTCCAAAATACGTAAGTACTGATTGGATCCCTTTCTGCACTAGTAAGTAAAATCAGTCCTGAATTACACACAACTTCAACTTGACGTAGACTTAGTACTAGTACCTACTCGGTCCCTCCAAAATACGTAAGTACTGTACTGATTGGATCCCTTTCTGCCCTCATTTCCTCTCAAACTCCCGACATTCCCACCGTGGTTTATACCATAGATAACATTGTATGTCAGATTGAATACATGTACGATGAGCGACACTACTAGCAACGGCAACACCAACGGCAAGGCAAGCAGTACATGTAAAAGAGGAGCTGCCTTTCACGTGGTGGGTGATGCGTTTGTGGATTTGTTTTCGTTTCTGGACGGCGACTGGCCAGAGAAAGGGGGAGATGCCAAGCTGAATCGACCGATTGCGACATTTGCGGGTGGGTCGTCGACCAATACCGCGACGCACTTGAATTCCTTGCTCGGTTACTTTGATGACACCAACCAATCGTCCATGCTATTGCACACGACACTCAATCCCGACGATCACTACGGGAGTATCTTGTTGAATCACGCCCAGAAGCATGGCTTTTCACTGGTCAACTGCAAACGACCCGACGACACTGCCGCCACGGCACACTGTGTGGCCATTGTGGCCGGCCAAGAACGATCCTTCATGTCCTATCGAGGATGTCTCGACAATTTTCACGCCTCCCATTTAGACAGTGACTCCATCATTGACTCTCCCAGTCATGTCCACATTAACATTGCGGGATATTACAATCTCAATGGATTCCAAAATGGTCTCATGGCCCAGGAATTACAGCGCATTCGAAAAGCGCGAGCCCAAAAATTCCCACACTGTGCCACCGTGGTCTCGTTGGTGCCACAGCATGACGCCACCAAACAATGGGACGGAGGAATCGATCAATTGGCACAATCTTGTCTTGATTTCTTTATCATGAACGAACTAGAAGCCAAGTACATTATGGAACAAGGACTCTTACGAAGAGGGAAACAGCCTCCACAGGAAGCCAACTCGGACGACCTGTTACAAAATTGTGCCGCCTATTTTGGAGAATTGTGTCCTCGAGCGTGTATTGTGCTCACCAGAGGGCCCGCCGGAGCGGTCGCATTACTCAAGGGAGACATTTATACGCAACAGTCCACTGTCAAAGTCACTCCTATAGATCCCACCGGTGCGGGAGATTCCTTCACGGCAGGATTCCTTTACGGGCTCTGGGATTGGAAACGACCGCACAATGGCGACATGCAATTCAACAACGCCGACAATACATTTCCATGGCCGACGCAAGCCATACAACACGCTCTCAAATGGGGTTGTGCCATGGGGACTTCCGCCGTCCTGGTCAGGGGGGCCAGTATTCCTTCCTCAAAGGAAACAGTGCAACGGTTTTATTCCGAGATTGAACAGCTCAAGGAGGAATGAGAGGAAGAATCATATTATGGTACAGTACAAGGAGCAGTCCATTATGGCAGATTGGTTCGAATTTCGGCGTCAATACTGTACACTGTATCTATAGCTAGTCACCTGGTGGCTTCTTTATAAAATAAAACCCAGGTTGTTTTTGTAAAAAGAGTTTTGTTGTCTTGCTACTTTAGAATAGTCTGGCAATCTGGTACGGTATCATGTTCGGTTTTAAATACTCGTAGCCAGATCTCTATTTTATAGAAGTGCATACCTTTGCCTCTTTTAAGACCTGCTACAGTATGCTTGGATTGAAAGGAAGATTTTAGGGGGGTCAAAACTCTTTTACGTTGTCACGTTGTGACCCCCACCAAAACGCCAACGTTCACTTTTCTTTCGCACTGCATCCTCTCCCCTCGATCGGATACCAGTACAGCACGGCCACAACACCACCACTTCACCACATAATACTGGTACGGGTACTAGTACAGTACTGTACCAGGCACCACCATCACTACACCAGCGATACCAGTACGAGTACCTCCTTTGTGTTGATTACTCTGTCTGCCTGTGAGAGTTAACACACATAAATTAATAAGATCTACCTACCAGCATGGCGTTCACAGTTGGAGTGGGAATCCTTTTGGCGCTCTATGTGCTGATGATGGGATCGACGTTCTATTTCTGCATGGTGGCTGACCCAGCATTGTCTCCGACGGCTCGATTTGTCTCCTATGACCTGCCGAACGAAATAATGAAGTTGGTGGGCAAGGTGGCAGGCCCAAAAGGACAAAAGTTGCTGGAGGTATTCATGGACCGTCTCATGGCCATTGTCTATCTGACCGTGGTGATCGGGGGATTCTTGACGCTGTGGCTACACGCATATCCTTGGGCGCAACAATCATCACACGTTCCAAATTATCATCTGAACATTGGATACGTCGTCTTCTTATTTGCTCTCTATACCTGGAGACTTACAATGACAACCAGGTGAGAATACATATATTGTATTTTTTACGGGGGGCTTCTGGTTTTCTTTTTTTGAAAAGTGTCATTGGTTGCTCACTCGATCGTCCCCCTATGTTTCTATCAGTCCTGGAATTATCACCAATGAGACTCTCCAATACTATGATCACTTTCCCTACGATGATTTTCTTTACGTAAAAGGTCGCATGGACAAGAAAAGGGGGATTCCTCGATTGGCAAGGAGTAAATTTGATCGCATGAAACATCAACAACACGTCGCTCGGTTCGATCACTACTGTGGCTGGGTTGCTGGCACCATTGGCGAAGAGAACTATCGGCTCTTTCTACTCTTTGTAGCCACACAGTTTGGAATGTGCGTCTACGGAACCATGGTGTTGACCAGACTCTTTATGGGGGAAATTGAAGACAGCAACCTCTACGAAGTTACGTTCCTGGACAAGTCCACGGGACAGGAATACAAGGCCAACAATTACGTTGTCTTTCAATATCTTTTTCATCGCCATATTTGGGAAGCAGCTATTCTCACAATCATGGCTGTCATGGCTATTGCTCTGTCCTGCTTCTTGCTGTATCACTTTTACGTAACGTCAATTGGAATGACAACCAACGAACACTACAAGTGGAGCGATGTGAGGAAGTGGCACAAAGAGCAAGTCAAAAAGTACAACGCATACGTCAAGAAACAGCAAGAAACTACAGCTAACGACAACTCACAACCAGAAAAGTCTCCAAGTAATGGGGACACACCGACAAATCACGCATCGGACGAAGTAATGGAAGACCCAGGGCCTATTCCAAAAAACATCTACAACCGTGGCTTTGTGGAGAACTGGAAACAAGTACTATTTCCAATTTCACTGCAACGAAAAGCAGAGGCATTGAAACAGGCAAACAAATCAAAGAATGCATAGGGAGAATGGTAGCATCAAGATTTTTCCATTTGCTGGTGGAAGGTCAACATGGAGCGTGACTCTTCCATCCTGCCTTTTGAGGCGTCCTTCTGAACATCTCGACAAACGATTCGATTGATTATTCGATTCGAACCAGATTGATTGACTATTTCGCGCCTGAACAATCATCACTGGACACTGACGCCTAAGAGTGCTCGCTCAGGGCAAAACCTTCCGACAACTTGGCACAACACATCGCTCTAGTCTTTCTTGGAACACACGTAGAACCTTGTTTGCGGACTTTCCAATCTAATCCCACTAATCTTTAAAAATCGTATGCATACATCGTAGGGCCTCGTTGCTATTTCGTTTTCGAGCGAAGTCTGCAGTGCCCGTAGTCGTTGCTAGCTCTGGAGCCAGCAACCAGCTTTCACACACTGCACAAGGTGCGTTCACTCAGAGCTGGCCTTGTAGACAATGCGTACGATACGTTATGACCTTTTACGGACTGCCGCTACCTACCGGTATGATGAAAAGGGAAATCACCAAGTACGTACCAGCTGGAAGAGTTCAAAACCTTGCATCAACCCCACACCAAGTCTCCCTTCCCCATGGAGCTCTTACCAGAGGAAGGACTTCACTGTCGTCAGCCATTGACTTGCTGCTACATGTCCTGGCTGTGGCTGTCGACGTCGCTTTCATCCTGCGCTTGCTGCAGTTCCTCCTCCTGCTCCCGTGCCAACTGTTCTCCCCCCTCAATGAGGGCTCCGTGGACCCACTGTGACATAAAGTCCATTCCTGTGAATCGAATCATTCAGTGGATTAGCAGCATGTGTTCCAATACTATACGCTCTTGTTGCTCCTCTTGTATCAATTAACGTACCTAGCCAGTTCAGTGATTCCAATTCGACCTTGTAGCCATTCTCTTGCATCAGTTCCAACTCCTCGTAGCAGTCCTGGTTGGTCCCGCATCCATGAAATTGATGATCTTCATCGAGCAGCTGTGCTAGCCGTTTTCGATCCAAATCGGTGAGTTGCTGATACACTCCTGGAGGAAGTGAAGGGTTGTTGCTGCGGTTGCCAGTACTTCGAGAGGTTGCCTCTTCATCCATCATGTCATCATCGCCATCAGTTGAAGTGCCACTACCGATGTCAGCTACCTGTGATGGCATCAACCCCAACCATCGAATGGGAACACTGTATCGAGAGCCCCCATCCATACCCAAACGTTCACTGCCGCGCTGGTAGGTGTTTATGACCAAGGCCCCGTAGGGATTGCAGTCCGCCAATCCATAAACCGGAATCTTTAGTTCACGATGCAATGTATGAACAAAACTCCTAGTGGCAACGTCCGGAAATCCCTTGCCCGTGACCAAGATGCAAGGGTACTTTTCGAAGATTCTGTCTTCTGCCAACCGCGTGTAGACACCTTCTTTTTCAATGACAAGGACACATTTGGCTCGCCGACGCTCGGCAGGTTGAGTATTACTCGTGCTGGAATCATCCTCATTCTCGGCTTGCGCCGCATCCACCAAGCAATCAATGGTGAAATCTCGCTGTGTCGGGGACGACAGCCATTCCTGAGTAATCGGTGCCCCCTGAATGGACGAGAGAGCTTTCCCATCCATGGCAATCCTTCCTTCTCGCAATATTTGAATACATCCGCAGAACCAGCCCTTGGGTGATGCAAACAAACCGAGAGTGGACCTCGGCACCCTCAGTAGATTGGCCGCTTCCACAATGGCGGCATCACATTCTCGCTGGGATCTGAAATGTGTCACGTAAAAGTAGTATACTTCTCGTGTAGTAGTGGTTCTCTGGGACAGCAGCAGATTGTGGCAAAATGCCAGTACCAGGAGGATGTTGCTAAAGGCACGGCATTGGGTCATGTTGTGAAAGATGAATCGTCGCCGTTGGTTGCTGCGAGATTTCATTTCGGGAAGTTCTCCATTTGCTAGGGCTTGGACCAGGGTGCGAGTCAGAGATTCAACTCGACGAATCACTTCCGTGGGCGACAAGAGCTGATCATCCTCCTCCTCCTGGTCACTGTTAGCACTATTGTTGTGGTCAACTTCCACTGCAACTGTAGGATCATTGGGAGGAACGTCCAAAGATGGCTGCTCCAGATTTTGCTGTGATTCTCCTAGGGTTTCTGCTTCTCCTCTTTGCACTTGTTCGTCCTCGGTGGTGACGGTGCGGTCGTCAAGCAAACGCTGTTGTGATGAGGGAAATTCAGATTCTGGCAGCCGAAAATTACCCCCTGGTACATTCTCTTGTGCTGATTCTTGTTCTTGTTGCTGTTCTGAAAGGTAGTTCCATTCAGACTGGTCTTGATCATTCAGTGCTTTGCACTTGTTTTGATCCGAATCCTCATCATCCCATTGCTGCAACCAGGATGCTGGACACTGGTTCAGCTCACGATAGTTTGTTTGAGACTCCTCTGCTGATTGTGACGTCCACAAGGCCTGTGACTGAGTCAACTGAGAAAGTTCTTGGGATTGCTCTGTCAAGTAAACACTTGGATATTCACCCGTTTCCTGTGAATCATCCCAATCCCTCTTCTCAAGAGACCACGCCATTTTGGGTTTGGTGAACGATGAAGTACTAGTAATGAGCACCTTTTCGCTTGTTCCTTTTCGCGCTGAAGGTTCTTTCCGTATCGTCAGCAATAAATCAATTGATTCAATCAAATCCAAGCAGGTCCACGGTGCACCAAGCAGCAGCTCCGAAGCATAATTCTCGATGTGGTGGGCACACTGTATGGATCAAATCCCAAATCCTTCTTCCTTCTTGTGTTTCTTCTTGTGAAGTGCCTCGAGTGTGGCATTGGCGCATTGGCAATACAGTAAAAATATTGGAAATTGAAATGACAAGAATAATGTAAAAAAGGCCCAAAGATCGCATTAGACTAACTCTAAAAAGCAGCTCAATAATGGGGGGTTATAGATATCTACATTAGCCGACTGGGGGGGGGGGGGCTCGCAAAGAAGAGGAGGAATTCCGGACTCATTTCGGTGGGATCAAGGGCGACCAAATGAGGGCAAACACAGGGGCCAATGGGCTTGACTTTGCAACATTCACGGAAACATGAATGAGTGGCTTTGTTTATTAAAAAAACCAAGGGCAATTGAGATTCGGGTCTGGAGGAAAATCATCATTGAGAGTCAGAATATTAGGCTTTTTTTTGTTGACAGTAGCAAGGTGTTGTAATAGAATTTGGCTTGAAGAGTAATCATGCCATTGACAGAAACAACAAAGGGATGGAAGGAGGCTCACTGGGATTTGAATGGGGCTTTATATTTGAACAATTTCTGGCGTTCCTGAGCACACAAACTTGGAGCGGATTTTTGGTTGGGTAGGAGATGCAGTCCAAATTGGTGGCACATACATCAACAATAGCAGTAGTAGCTGAATGTTTGCCAATAGAAATTGAAGTGACGGTAGGCACTGACTTTTGTCTATGGTACTTTGCTGACCAACTGATCTCATTCTTAAAGTGTGTCATTTAATGCTCATGTTGAATTATCAGAGATCCAAATCAGCTTATGGGATCATACCAATGCCCTACATGAGCAGGGACAAGGAACTGGCCAGGCCTGATTGTGATAGCTGCGTATCTGACAACTCTCTTGACAACAGGTATTTCAACATACCTTACATCCTTCTTGCTACTAGCAATAAATTGAGACCATGCACCGGATGACTTGAACTTGGGGAAAGGCTGGTGCATAGCAGCACACGTACGGTATTGTTGAATGAAGAGGTTGTCTGGCACAAGAATATGGGGGACAGTACTGCTAGCTATAGAATGCATTGGCCCCCTAAATGAAAACCTTGTGACAATCTTGTTGTCCCCAGGGGTTTTGTTCAAGGGAACCACATGTGCATTCAGTTGTTCTTTGTACAGCAGTAGCCCAGGATTTTTGCTCAAGCTGAACCTCCAATGTAGTGTATTATCAACCACCAAAAGTTCTGTTGATTGCGAGAGCTTGCAACACCTTCTCACACAGTGAATAGAGCCCACCAATCCTACCGGTACTGTACTGTACTAGGTGTCTAGCTACATAGCTCTGCCGGATTGCACTCACGAATTTGAATTTTTTAGATGCTTCTTCGGTGCAGTTGGGTCGAATGGGTCGAACGGGTCGAACGCTTGAATGGAAGCGCTTGCATCGTGTGGACTTTCACAACGAGATGAGCAACGACGAGACTGCCTCCTGAAGTCCATGGTCGCCAGTAGCTAGCTAGCTAGCAGCCAGCATCAGTCAACAAAAGCTGCATGCTTAGATTCCAACAGCAGTGTACTCTGCAAACAATCGACATAGTGGAAGCGAAGGAGTGCTAGCTAGCTAGTAGTCATCGCTTCGAGTAGTTGCCATAACTGTTCTCATCATTACTGTGGAATTACCAGAAACATCTTCGTTGACACTTTCCGGCGGCAGCATGACGATGTGGGGTTTCTCCTCTCGTAAAGACCAGGACTCCCAGTCTACCGACAATGATGATCACAAAATGTCTCCGTCCAAACGCTCTCGCAGACGGATTGGGGGCAAGAAGAAGGAGAAGGGTCCTGTCAACGATAAAGGATCAGCTACGAGTGGTGCCAAGAAAGCAATGGGCGCCCTCAGTTTTAGTCGATCCAATGGCAGCAAGCAACAACAGCATCCACCGCTCAATGAACAAGCTCCTGGTCTCAACAGTAGTCAGCAGGAGTTAGAGTGGAGAAACCAGAATGACGCGGAGGAGCAAGAGCAAGACATCAATGTGGATGTCTCCGATGATCAAGGTATTGAAATACTCTTGGACATGTCCACTCATAACCACAACAATCCAAATCCATACGCGCCCAGACACCCTAAAAGTCCAGCCACAAAGAGCGGTCATCATAGTCGACGCTCCATGAGCAACCACAAAACCAAGGATCGCAGGAGCGCTCCTCCTGACCCCAAGAGACAAACTGAACCAGCGCCTTCTTCGTTATTGTCACCAATGGTGGTCAGTGATAATTCCAAAACGGTTGTGTCTCTGGAGCATGATGTTTTAGTCAAACGAACCAAGATATACCGGGCACAGTTCTCCATATTCTTTCCCATACCCACGCTGCCGTCGGATCCTCTGGCGCACCGAGATCAGCGGAGACACCGTATACCCCTTGGCGGACGTGGGAGGGTCGATGGTGTTGCCTACAATGACCAGATACGAATGCTGCAAAACTCTAATCCTCTGGATGAAATCACTTCTGTCCGCATGGAATTGAAAAAGATGAAGATGGAAATTGATGCTTTAGAAGAGGACAAGGAGGCTTTGGAGCAGCGTTGGCTGACGTTGAACCAACAGCAGCGACAACAATATCTTGGCGCAGGAGCTCGCTCGAAGCAGTCAGTCACCGGAACGAATGATACGGTCGATTGGGATATTCATAGACTGCTCAGTTCCAAGCGAAAACTAAGCAACAAGGAACGAACAGATTTTGAAGTGAGACGCGGCAACTGCGTTACCGTCTACCTCCAAAATCCAAGAGCAGAGGACGCTTTTTTGAGCAAATGCTGCGGTGCGAAGCAAATACCTCCCAAGAAAACAAGACGTCGAGTCATTACCGTGGATCCCCAAAATTGCCGTCCTGGTGGTGCCGGTGCTACCATTCGTCATCTTGCGTTGCTACCAAAAGGTTCTTCCTTCTTTGTCAGCCGTGACAACGGCAAGTCGTATTCTTGGGGCCAGCTCCCTCCTCGGTTGCTTCAACGAATGAAGTCGCAAGGCCTCGACCCCGTGAAGCATTGTGGGGAACTGTTGTACTTGTCCACCGGCCCAAACGGATACTATTATGCAGAGTTTAGTACAGGAGAGTGCTGGTGGGGATGCGCAGGCGAAGATAAGGAGTTCTACGAAATCTTGCAGCATTGGGAAATCTATCGTGTAGTCTTTGGAGCTTCGGTCAAGCATACCGCGGTCAATGGCAACAGCAACCAAACCCGAGAAGTCCTGACGAATTCCTGGATTATCTTGGGCCGTGATGGGCGTGCCGCTTGGAAGAATCTGCCATCACGGTTGCACCAGACTCTGGAAAGCAGGCTGGCAAATTCTGCGGCTCCTGCAGAAGTGGCGCTAGGAAGTGGGGATTCCTATTATGTTCGATTTTTGGATGGAACAGTTGACTATTGTCTTCCTGCCGAGTTGGCTGCTGTTTGCGAGCGTATTCAGAGAAGTGGAGGTGTGATCACCGACATGGCCTTGAACCCAGAGGCGTCCCATGAGTTTATGGTTCGTCACACCGAAATACCGACCAACTAGACCAATCCGTGGCTGTTTCGAAGGGTGATGAGGCGTCGTCGCTGGCGGGTGTAGACTACCAGTATAGTTCATTACAACGTTTTGCAAACAGAAACTCTTTGTTACTCGTACGTGTTTAGCTAGCTAGATTACTACAGGTAGTACAAGGATTCCAAATTCTAGTTTTTTAGTCTTCACACAAATCCAGTTGTTCCCCTTGGCTCCGTTGCTCTTCGGCACATCAAAATCAAAATATAGTACAGTAAATGACCCCAGCAGAACACCACCCACCCAATTATATTGCAAGTCTTTCTGAGCTGAGCCTATTGATACTGTAGGCAGCTAAGCTAACCAACCTTGGCTCGCTTGGATTCTGGCTCATCCTCGGAATTCTTCTTTTCCAGATACCATGTCAAAGGTGGGAAATTGGTCTTTTGGTCCTTCTTTTGGGGGCTCTTTTCGTCTTTGGTTTCTGCTTCAAAGTCGAGTCCCTCCAACGCCATGGCATCCAAGAGTGTTTCCTTTCGTTGTTGTAGTTCCTTCATGGTGTCTTCTAATTTATAGAATGTTTCGGCTGCCTCGTTGGCCCCAAATTTACACCGCGAGCGGATGAGCAATTGAATCAAATTCTGTCGAGCTGCTCGCTGTTTGGAGACGATTTCTCTAAAAGTTCGTATGTTGATCATTTGTTCATCCAGATCGAGATCCAGCAATCGTTCACTGGCTCGAATGGACATTTCTCGCGCCTTGTCGTCCGGCACTTGGAATGGTTTTCCCGTTTCCTGGACTTCTTTATCGGCAGTTTCACACAGTTGTTGAATGTCTTCCGGTAATGCTTTCAATAAGGACGAGAGCTGGACGGCCGCATCATTTCGCAAATCTCTGGCAATTTGCAAAGTGGCAATGGCCTTGCAGGGCGCCAAGAATTCTCGAGAATCGACTCGTCCATAGGGAATGTTCTGAGTAACAACAAGACGGCAACGGATGGAAAAAGACGAAGGGCACGGTCAGGTTGGTTCTAATTACAAAGCAACTTTGGAAATTGAATGAAATAATGATTACTCACCTTGGCATCAAAATCGTAGACAAAGGAATCTCGTTTGGAGGGTGTTTTGACAGCTGCAGCGACCACGTCGGGAGTTGGCTTGGTCTCTTCCGTCTTGACGACTGTCTTGTCGGGTGTCTTTTCTGCCGTTTCTAGTGGTTCTTTCTTTACTGCTATTTCCTTCTTGCGGCTGACAGGTTTTGGCGAAGGACTTCTGGCTCGTTTGGGACTTCGAGGAGGCGACTTACGGCCACTACTATTGTTGGCACGTACAGGTGATTTGGGTCTTGCTGTCGTCGTGGCTGTCGTCGTGGCTGTTGTAGTAGTTTCTGCCGTGTTGGGTTCCGTCTTGACGGTGGTCGTTGTGAGTTGTTTTTTGATCAAATTGATCATGGTGGGTCCTCCAAAGGCATTGAGTGAATCCCACTGCTTGACGCACCCTTCCAGCTTTTTGGTCGTATCGCTGTCGAGACAATTCTTCTTGGCCACTTGCATAATACAACTTTCTCCCAGAACTTCCCTCATTTCCGACAAGCGTTCCCACCGCGACGTCCCCGAATCGAGAATGATGGATTCATGGACAATCTGGAGAAAGAGCCATTGTCGGACCTTGCTCGGATTGGTTCCAATCTGATCGGCCAAGGTTGCGGCAAACTTTTTGATGTGTCGCCGTCGAAAGGCAATGTACTTTGCCAAAGCTTGAATCGATTCCTTGCTGGCTGTATCCGCCAACTTGGAAAGACGCTTCACCAGTCGGGACGATAGATCGACCAACGGGGACGAGGGTCCTTCTGTCATCTTTCCAACTTGTCGATTGCTTATTGTTGATTTTGTGCTGCATGCAAGTTGGAAGTCGAGCCTCTGCCAGCAATCGGTGTGTGCGGAGATTTTGTTTAATCACGATGTCAATCACGGATATCGAATCAGAGCGGACGATGGCCAGACAAGCAACTCTGAAGCCAACCAACAAAAAGATGAAGCCACCCAACAAAAGCCTTTTTCTCGCTTTTTCTACCGTTGCAAAGGATGTTGGGTGGCATGATGAGAATGCCCAAAAACATCCCACACCACAGAATTCCGCTACTAGCTAGTACCATAAGTTGATCAAACCATCATCATCATGGGAAAGAAATCCAGGAAGAAGAAGAACAGCGGCAATCAAGATGCCGCTGATGCAGCTGTGGCCGACGAGCGGTTTGCCATGGCCAAACCCCATTTTCAGTCCTTTTCCCAAAAATCACGCCATAATACCAATAGTGGCAGCAGTGGCCTCTTGACCACGTCGTCCAACAAGATTGTGCTGGATGAACGCTTTTCCTCCGTCTTGACAGATTCGCGCTTTCAATTGCAAGAAAAGGATAAATATGGAAGAAAGAAGCGGACAAACAAACAGAAGAACCAGAAAAACAAAGAATTGGATGCCTTTTACACAGTGGCAGATGACGATGATAATGAAGAAGAAAAGGAGAAACACGAGAAAGAAAAGGATGATGCATCGTCCACTTCCGGTTCTACCGATTCCAGCAATGACAGTGACGACAATAACAATGATCAAGATGATGATGCCGTGGAAGACCCTGCATCCCGAATTTCCTATTTGACAGCACTTTCACGTGGAGAACTGGATGTGTCGTCTTCCTCTTCCGACGATGACGGCGATAGTGACGAATCGTCCGATAATGACGATGACTCCTCAGTCGAAACAGAAGACCCCATTCATGGAACGGCGGGAATTTTGGATCCTTCCGCAAAGAAGGAAGCACAAGTGGAAATCACTTTTGAACAATCACCCTACCTCGCCGTCACTAATCTCGACTGGAATCACATGCGAGCGGTAGATATATTTGCCATTTTATCCAGTTTTTCTCCTCCAGGAACACTCAACCGAGTGCAAGTATTCCTAAGTGACTATGGAAAGCAAAAAATGCAACAAGAAATGCAGCATGGTCCTCCCAGTTTGTGGAAAAAGAAGAAGAAAACCAAAATAGCAACCACTACATCAGAGAGCGATGAGGATGATGATAGTGAAGAAAGTAGCAGTGAAGAAGAAGAAGAAGAAAACGACAACCAAAACGACAACGAGGAGAGTGACATGGATGATGACGCAGATGAACCGCCATTAGCGGAGACTTATGAAGATTTCATCGACGCTGCCAATGAACAACACCAAAAAGCAGAGTCCGACTTTGACCCTGAAAAACTCAGAGCGTACGAAGCATCGAAACTCAAATACTATTTTGCAGTCGCCGAGTTTGCATCAAATAAGGCTGCCGATGTCGCCTACAAAGAAGTCGATGGGATGGAGTTTGAACACTCCAGTGCTGCCGTTGACATGCGAAGTATACCCAAGGAGGAAATCAACAATGTCACCGATGGTAGAGAACTCAGAGATGAAGCAACCTCCATGCCGGGAGACTATATGCCTCCCGCCTTTATTGTCAGCGCATTGCAACAAACTTCGGTTCAGTGTACTTGGGAAGCAGGTGACAGCAACCGAGAACGGCTTCTCACCAAATACACATCAGCCGAACAGTGGGCTGCTTGTGCTGAGAATGACGATTTGAAGGCTTACCTGGCTTCGGATGCATCCAGTGAAGAAGAAGACGATTCCGACAATGATAGTGATGCACCCAACGCCAAGGGTGCCAGGTTGAGAAAACTATTGGGGCTGGACAATGACAACGACGACGATGGCAGTGATGCTGAAAACAGCGTGGGATCGGGAGCAGCAGGTGCAGGTGCAGGTGCAGGTGGCTCTGACAGTGACAGCGATGATGGGGGAGAAGTCTCAAAAGAAATCAAATACGACCCCAATAAAGCAGACCTGCAAGAAAAGATTCGAGCCAAGCTAGAGGCAAAGGACGAAGCTCAGCAGAAGGAGCTTTCTCCATGGGAAAAGTACAAGGAAAAGCGAAAAGAAAAGCGAAAAGAAAGGCGCCAAGCTGGACGGCGAAAACGAGACGATATGGAGCTGGAAGACAAAGGAGCAAAACGACGTGGTGGGAAGCGCAAGGAAAGCGACGACCAAGGCAGTGATGATGACGGCGGCAATAATCGAAAGAAACTGTCCAAAGAAGAGTTGGAGCTACTCCTTGCTGGAGACAACGATGAAGAGGTTTCGAAAGACTTTGATATGCGTGGTTTGCAACGTATTGAAAAGAACAAGGACAAAAGGCTACGTGGGTCTAGAAAACGCAAGGAGGAGAAACTTGCTGCAGGTGTTTCTGGACAGCAGTTTGAGATTGATTTGAAAGACAACCGCTTTGCTGCTGTATTGGATGGCGACGACGGTAGATTTGGCATCGACCGTACAGATTCACAGTACAAGGAAACGCCTGCAATGCGAGAGATCTTACAGGAGCAAAAGGCTCGTCGAAAGAAACGGCGAACAACCAAGTCCACCGATAAGCCGAAACAAAAACCCGTCCCAAAAGATGTCGTCGAAGGCGCGAACATGAAAAGCTCGGGGTCGGCGGCATTGAGTTCGCTGGTTAAGAGCTTGAAAACGAAAGTCGCCAAAACGTAGAACATAACAAAGCAATCCACAAGGGATCCATCAAATGAACTTTAGGCATTCACGAGATTCGGGCTGGTAGTTGTACCCCACATCTCTTCTGCAGCAATATCTATTGTCCCCAGATATTCTTTCGTATGAGCACCGACAGAAGCTAGACCCAACACGGCAGCTGCATCTCCTTCCTGAATCGCCTCCTCCGTAAACCACACGCCTGGCTTAACTGTCCCAGACAGAATGGCACAGCAAAACGCTGCCACACATTCTCCGACGCAGGGTTCTAGATTCTCGTGTCCATAGAGGAGAGAAGCGCTTATTGTTGGGTCTTTGTCGGTTGTCACGTCGCATCTCATGGCATTGGTGGCACCCGCGAAGAAGTCAACTACACGAACAATTGGAAGTGAGAATATCGCTAGCTTTTCCATGAGATCCTCGTTGGATAGTAGTTCTGGTGGCAGCTGGGCCATCACACCTAGAAGAGTATTCCAAAAGCCCGGAGCAGTGCCAAACAAAGACTTGACACTACCAACGCCCAGGACATCGTGGCTGAGTGTGACAGAGCAACAGATTGTTGGAGGTGAGAAGACATATGCAACCATTCCAGCATCCTTCAAAGAGAGGCGCATTGCCTCGCCGTGGCTTACACAGATGCCGTTTCCAACAGATTCAAATGGGCAATCTCTTTGTCGCCAATGACATCCCCGAAGTTGACAGTTTTGTATTCCTTCATTGCCTGGACAGGTCTCCTTCTACCTTCGACGACCATCAGTGCCTTCTCTGCCAAGATTAGAAACGTGGCTACCAGTAACGTTGCACCAGCTCCACCAGATCCTTGCAGATTGTTGAGAGGATTGCATTTGGTTTAGCGGTCCATATTTGGCGGCATTGGCAGTCCTAAGTCAGCCTAAGTTTCTCACTTACCTGCAGTGAAAAATCCAAAGTCGACCTTTAAGTCCGATGGAGACAGTTTCGGGTTCTCCTCCAGCACTTTCGTCACCAATTGTTTGGCCATCAGTGAAGATACCCCAGGCTTTTGAAAGCCATGGAGAGTATTACACAGCACGGAAGAATGAGTCCGACTGAAATATTTCGAAATTCAGATCATTATCTCATATTGCCAACTCACCCAACAGCCGGTACTAAGTAAACAGGGCACACCATTTTCTTGCGCTTGCTTCTGGTACTTTGTCTTCGCAGCTGTGGCTGTGCAATAATCATCACAAACATCCACATAGGCGACATTGTTGGCGACACAGGCTTCCAAAACTCCGTTCCTTGCAGTCACCTTTCCCTGAAATGGTCCAGCAGTATGGACTACCAAATCATAGGACGAAGCCTGTAGAACTTTTTCGAATGATGCTGGATCTTCCCGTTGAACACTTTCGAAACTGACTGTGTTGACAAACTCAAGGTCATCAAACAGCTGGATCCATCGAGACATTGATTGCTCAAATCGATCCTCGTTGGTGCCCCCCACCGTCACTTTCGAGGCACCTCGTTTGACCAACTGGGTGACAACGGATCCGCCAACGCGTCCAGAGCCGCCCACTACGAGGATTCGCTTGCCTTGGAGTGCATCGAATGAAATTGAGGAGTCAGAGGAGGCTGCTTCGATTGGTTTCGTTCGGAACTTGAATTTTCCTTCAACTCGCTGGGGTGCAAAGCCCTCGACAAGTACAAGAGCAATGCTTACTATTACTATTCCAAGTTTGCAGGTGACAGGAGCCATTTGTCAATGTCAGTACATGTATAGTAGCAACAGAGAATACGAAAGCTTTTGCGACAACGAGTTTGCGGTGGGCGGTGAGATCAGGATTCGATTGATTCAGGATGGATGGAGAAAACACGTCACAGCTTTTGGGGGATCTCTGACCAAAGCATCTTTGGTGCAAAAGATCCAACCGGCGAATCGAATGATCAATCGAATCGAATCGAATCTGCTTCCGAGCGACCGGCGAAACGCACTGCTGGAGGGGGTGATCTGGAAGTCTGAAATATTCCCATTCAAGTGACTGTCCATGGGATGCACAAACATGATTTATTGCTGCTAGTTGGGCCCCTCTAGATGTCTTCAAATGGGCCAGAGCAATTGCCTGCCCAAGGACAGGCAGAGCTGCTGCTTACCAAGGCAATGATAACGTTTTGAGGGTGGAACGTGAGATGGACGTCCAGGGACAGGTGATAGTGGCAGTGCTGCTAGTAGCGATGACAAGTAAAACATGGTATTCAATCTGCCAGCACTGCTAAGCGAGGTTTTTGAGAGATCATCCCCATTTGTATTCCACACCATTCAAATTGCAGGGCATGATGGAGTGTTGTTTGTTCTTTGTTATAGCAAAACGTTTCAGTAGCAACTGAACAGCTGCTGCACTAAGAGTTGACTTAAACAGTATAGATGACCAAACAGTGTGTAAACTGCTACCGACAGAATGGATCAAAGATAGATACCGTATGGACACAAAGCAGATGGGAAGTAGTAGCTGCTCTGATACCTGCCTGCTACGAGGTACCAATTGTCCAAGTGTTGGTCGTTTTCTTTTGGTTTCGCCTGCAGATTCTGCTGCCATGATTCTGCCATGCATGTTGGTGGCTCTGCAATCTACCCTACCATTAAGACCAGCTAGACCATCAAGACCAGCTTTGGGTGGTGGTACGGACCGTAATGAGACGGCATAGAGAGATCCTGGGGTCCTCCAAAATATTTTATTCTATTCATTCAGCTCATCCGGTTTATACTTTCAGTTTTCGTGCAAAACGTCTCGCCCTTCCACTCCTCCTCGATAACCAAACATGCCGTGATGCCATGGGGAAGAAGAGGAAGAACAAGCAGCGCAACAACAAGCAAGGAGGCGGAGGACAGTACTGGAAGCGTCCCCGTCGTGAAAAGTACTGGATCGAAGACTGCCGAGACACCAAAGGAGTTGTTCCAAGTGATGCTCGTCTGACACTGCTCATCACAAGGAGCGATCTCGAAGACGCCTTTCGCCACGCCAAGGCAAAGGAAAGATCCAAAGACGATCAATCCCATACCTCTGATGGAAACCAAGAGAATTTGTCTCTGAAAGTGAAAGAGGCTTCTGCTGTCCGCGAAGAAGACACAGAGAAGAATGCATGCAAGGAAGACACTGATTCCAACACGTCTCAAAAGGATAAAGAGACCAATACAAACGATACAATAGCTGGACAGTCTCTCAATTCTGCATCTCAAGATGATCAAGATGAAGCATGCCAACAACTAAAAGAGCACCCAGCACCACATTCTGTTCCTGATGAACCTCCAAAGGAGACAACCGCGAGAAATGAAGAAGATCCAGCAACAAGCTTAGCTGGGCTCCAGGATGTCACTGATAAATCCCATTGTGAAGAGTCGCCCTTCCCTTCGAATCCAGGAGGAAATCCAAAGGACAACTTGGCAGGGAACGGGGATGAGAGTGATGAATCTGATACTTCAGAGTCGCCCTTTCCTTCAAATCCCGATGAAAATGTTCCGAAGAAGAAGAAGGCAAAGAAGAAAAACATTTGTATTCGTCTTGATGCTTCTTTCAAGAAGGACGTAAAAAAGGTAGGTGATATGCAATGTGGCAGGGTTCAGACTCTTGCCAATGCTTTCTAACAACCACTGTTTCTTTCTGCTCTACATCACAGTTTGCGAGACAGAATTATCAAAACTTGTCGGACGGCGATTGTGGCGATGGTATCAAAAACCCATTCCCAAAACATGTTGTGGCTGACAAATATTGGGCTCAACGGCACCGCCTGTTTTCTCGATTTGACCACGGTGTTCAATTGGACGCAGAAAGCTGGTTTTCTGTCACACCGGAAAAAATTGCCAATCACATTGCCGATAAGGTGGTAGAGAAATCAACAGCAGCAAAATCAGAAGGTGGGCTTGTTGTGCTGGATCCATGTTGTGGAGCTGGAGGGAACTCCATTGCCTTTGCAAAGCAGGCGGAGGTTTCTCTGGTTGTTTGCGTAGATCTTGATCCATCCAAGCTCAAATTGGCGGCACAGAATGCAAAGATATATGAGATCCCACCCGACAAGTTGCTTTTTATTTGTGGAGATGTCTTTGATGTGCTTGCTCAATATCTAAATGGCAAACTCGTCAAAGCAAACGACAATAAAGCCGGTGATTTGACGACGGATATTCATGGTTATCGGCTCGGTGACGCCGACGCACTTCCTGAGACCATCGGATCCATATTCTTGAGCCCACCTTGGGGTGGGGTGAATTATGAATCCATTGGCTCCAAAAAGTTTGACTTGAAATGCGTTCAATTCAATGGCGAACAAGATGGCGAACAATTGATCGAGCACGCAGCCAGGGCTCTTCCACCAAAAACAGGGGCCATAGCCTGCTTCTTGCCACGGAACACCAATGGTTTTGAAGTGGGGTTGAGTGCATTGAAAGTTGGAATCTCTGGGACTCTGGAGGTGGAGCAGAATATGTTGAATGACAAGTTCAAAGCCATCACTTTCTACCTGGGAAAAGCCAAAGAGCACGTGTTACACCCCTCTTGACGAATAACGGAGTGACTTACGACATGGTTCTGTGGCTGGTGACTGGACCGCTTTGAGGACAACGGGAAACGCACACTATTTATTCGAACATAACGATACCGTACCGGTACCCCTGCAGACAAACTCTGAGCTCTGGGTCGGTAGCAATGTCAGGTTTTTCAATGTTCAGCAAACGAAAACCTTGCACTTTGCCCTATGAGAGGACTTGTTGTAGCTAGTTTGGTGTAAGACCGTATAAATGGCAACGTTATTCATACCAATCACCAAAAGCAAACAACCGGGCTTAATGGTGAGTTAGGCGTAAGCGCGCATAGATGGCAACGTTCCTGCAACCCAGAGGATCAAAGCAAACAGCAATACCAAACCGACCATAGAAAGGCAAGTCGCCAGTACAATCGTATTGAATGCAGTATCACTGTCCTCGAGAGAGTTCATCACATTCATTCCAAAAACGGATCCGATGAAAGACCCGAATGCAACAACGAGAGATCCAATGCTGATAAGCATGTTCGCGAGCAAAAGGCGATTCCGCACCGCATCCAGTCGCTGATTGATAAGTTCCTGAGTTGTTTGAATTTCACCGCGAACGAGGTCAAGAGAATTGGTAAGCGAAAAGGCATGTTGTAGGTGTGCTTCCAAGATGAGTTCCGGTTCGTCGGATTCTTCGTTGAGTATCTCCTCGGGGACTGGTTGGATAAAGCGTTCAGGATGGGAAAGGAGTCTGGAAAGGTTCATGAGAGCCATATCCTCGGTTTCGTCGAGCACCAAATTCATGGCCCGAATGAATCCTTTGACTCGGGATGTCATTTCTTTGACGCTGTTTTTCATATGACGAAGAATTTCTTCTCCTTGCTCGCCTGATGACTGACGGAGGAGACCATCCATGGCTCGAATGGAACTCTTTTGTAACTCGTTGGAATCCTTTCCCAGAATCGTCACCACACTCCCTAATACGGCATCTACACAGGTCAGTTCGAAGGAGAGTTCCCTTGATTCGGCCATTTCATCCCACTCCTGAAATTCGGAAATAACGTCAAACTTCTGTGTATCGGCAGTGAAATCATCCGTCAATTGCGTTGCCAGTTCTTTTGGATTCTTTTCTCCGCGAGCATTGTTGTTGTTGTTGTTGTTGTTGTTGTTGCCTCTACCCATTTGCTTGACTCGTTCAATGATTCCACTTGCTAGACTGCCACCACCGGTACTATTAGCTGTACTGGACCTTACCTCCTGCGGCAATGCATTGGACGACGAGTGCTGTGAGTCTCCAATGTCTATTTGCGAAGGAGTAGGTGTCATTCCTGATTCACCAAATACAGCCCGTTCCACTTCGCGAGTACCTCCTCGCACCCTCTTTTCGAGGTCCACCAATAGCGAGTCTGCTCCATCCGGGACCAAGACCAATAGTCGATCACGTAGGATCACTGCTCGAAGAGGATCAAAATTCAGCAGCATGACGTGTCGTCTCACAATCAATTCCGGTTCATTGGATGCCGAAAATGGTGAGACGAGTCTCCTCATGTCACGCGGGTGGAGGAAACCTCCCAATCGTTCTCGATAGGTCACAGGACCATCGTGTCCAGGGTAGATTCGACGCGTCGCTGCACCCTGGTCGGATTGGTTGCTGCTGTCCATGGATCCTTTGGGATTGTCAGTTAGAACGGGTCCAAAGGTGACATTTTTTCCTTCGGAAGGGGTGTTGCTGGAATTAGAGATTCGTTTGTTATGGGATCTTTTGTGAGAATAATTTCGGTCCTCGTCGTCGCTGGTGTCGGAATCCTTGTCATCGTCCGATAGATTGTCGTATTTGTCGTATTCATCGGTTCTGCCGGCCCGAGACGACGACCTCCGCCTGGATTTGTGGCCGCCAAGTCTCGATCTGGTAAAGTGGAGCGTGCCATTGGACATGGGATCGTTCTTATTGCCTCGGATCGCTGGTCTCTTTTCGGCCGAGACTTTGATACTCTTGAGACAGTACTGGTACAACCCGCGAACACTCAAACTGTTGTACTCTGTTTCTCCGTCTTGTCGAATCTCAAACACCAGCAACTCTGCCAATCGATGTTGGAGCGCATCTGTGACGCGGCCGGTTCCAGTGTGGACGCTGGAATTCATCCCTATGTCGACATAGTCCAAATCCAGAGTCATTCGAGCTATGGAAGGTCGCATCATGTGTCGAGTCCGAAAGGATTCATCGACGCTATTAATAGCACTTCGTCTCCTCATTGTTCTTATCTATCTTCAATGCTCAACAATTACCTTCCTTCCTTCTAACACAAACTCCTATGAATAGGCAGAACACACAACAAGTGGCTGCTTCCTGGGTAATACAGTACTATTAGAAGTTGACAACGCTCAAGGCTGTGGCGCTGTGGCTCTTCTGTCAGTCCATGGATCAACTCGGCCTCAGCGTGTGCCTTGCGGCGCAGAACTTTTCCCGGAACAGTTGACTGTTGACTGACGTTGAGAGAGAGGAAATGTGCGGTCGACTATTTAAGCCAGCTTGAGCGGCAAAGCTCAGTCCTGAGACGTGCATAATTTCAATAGCCGACTGGACGTAAACACGTAAACTGCCATCGCAAAACGCAGAATAGATCTACCACTAGCTAGCGGTAGCTAGAGGTTCATTTCAAATTTCAAATTTAAAAAAACAAGCGTTCTGTGGGTATTCCACACCATCTAAAAATACATCAAGCAGAGGGAGCTATTACACTACAAGAGTTCTGTTCCCACGGTATAACAAAGATGAGCTACAACAAGGTCCCTGTGGATGAAGATGAGGCCGCATCCATCGAGCTCAGCCGGTTGGACGTTGATTCTGGGCCAACATCCTTTGCAACAACAAATGCAAGAAAGCTTTCATCCTCCTACAGAACTGGGATAGCCCTGGTAGTGGCTCTACTTTTGGTGGGCCTTGTCCATGTTTTGGTGACATGGAACTCATGGCGTGTTGCTATTCACGCACCACACAAAGTACTGGAAGATCTGCGACAGCAGCCAGACAATGTGGAACCGCATTTGACCCCCAGTTTTTGCCGCGACCCCAACTATATGATGGAGTATTATGATAGATTGAGCAAGTACTGGAAGTTCACAGAATTCCTAGAAGGCTTAGAAACTTGGGTGGTGACTCACGGAGGTACTGGTTCGGGGTACCTGGTGGGATACATGCAGGGCCAGGCCGGAATCAATGTGTGGACAGGTGGCACAACACATAACAGCAACTACTTATGCCATCTTGGAAACCCTGCCATGGTTGAATTGGTCCGCCCCAAATCTAACAAGCCCATTTTGGTGCTCGTCGGTGACTTCTACAGAGCATTCTTGTCCATGGATAGACGTGGATGGCTCAAATGGAACATTGCCAAAAACATTTTTGGCGAGCAATGGTGTGAATTATCGTATCATGATTACATTAACTACAATCCACGAGACCCCGCAGGAATCAAGGCCATGATTGCGGGCTTCAGCAAGATTCCCAACGTTGTCTTCCTCAAGGCGCCCTACACGAAGGAATCTGTAATGAAAGCTGTCCAATGGATGCAGCTTAACCACAGTCAACCAGAGTTGGAACAACTATTTGAAGGGTTTGAGGTACACGCACGACAATCCAATGGGTCTGAAGTGGTCCCTGAACTCGTGGAACTATTTGAGCCTTACCAGGTTCTCCAAAGGATATTTGACGAGGAATTACCGGGTGTTTGGAATGCTTCCGACATGCCACCAGCTTTGAAGCAATATCTGGCCCATGAAAAAGTTAGGGGGCTCTAGGGGTCGGGTTGTACTTTTTCATCCTGGAATAGGTAATCGTGACGATCCGGAATGCCGCTAAGCGACATGGGCAATTCGATAACAGACTGCCGAACTACATCATGTTGAACGTAATATGCTTGCGGCTCGACGAAGAATTTCCCCAGCAACAAGTTTCCACGATACTTCATTCCCAACCACAATGCACTATTGTCTGTATCGGCTTTGGCATTACCGTAGCTTTGCATCTCTTATTATGACGCCTCTCAACATCATGGCATCACTACAGTAGAACGTTGACTTGTAAATTGTTAAAGCAGGGAAGAGATGGATTGTACTACTACTCATCGTTTTGGTACCGTCTCAAAGGAACGCTGTTTGCAGCAAGGTCCTCTCTCGGCATAGGCAGCATCCTGTCATCCACCTACTCTACTCATCTAAACATTTCACACTTCTGGATCCAATCGTGCTCCTACCATCCAGGACCATGTCATTTGTTCTACCGTACAACCAAGCTCCAAAATCCACTGATCACTCTAAATATGTATATTCTTCATTCAGTCAAAGTCCAGTTGCCTCAATGGGTCGTTTCTCCAGCACAGCCTCCCCATAGCGCCAATCCCACAGCGTTCCATGGTCGAAATATCCACTTCATTCAGTTCTTTATTGTTTGCTTGATTTTCGGACAATGACTTTGTGATGGACTGTTGAACGCTCGTTGTAATTTCTGAAATCTCATCCACTGTCAGAGCAAAGGATAGCACCTCTGCATTCTCTATCATGCGTTCTTTGGACGTGGATTTGGGAATGACGACGCAGTTCTGAGAAAGGGCCCATCTCAAGAGAATCTGTGCGGGAGTGACCTGTTGTTTTTGCGCCATGGCCACCACTGGGCGGCACGACAAGAGTGACACCACCGTGTCTCGGAGCTTCTGCTTCTTTTGCTTTTTTCGTTTGTGGTTGTTGCTTGCGTCGCCATCTTGTGAATCCATTGTTGTTGTTATTGTTGGCGGCAGCGCCTCCAAGGCCAATTTGTTCCATTGCTTCTTGCCGGTATCTTGTCCGCCAAGAGAGGCGTACGCTTGGAGCACAATTCCTTCTTGGCGACAGTAGTCCAAGAGTTCCGTTTGCGGATAGAGCGGATGAAACTCCACTTGATTGACGGCTGGAGGCCAAATGGTAGCAGTTTGTTTGAGTGCCTTCAAGTGTTCGACCGTAAAGTTGGAAACCCCAATGCTTTTGCATTTCCCCTGTCGGGCGGCATCTTCCATGGCTCTCCATGTCTCACTTCGTAGGCGTGCCATTTCTTCTGGCTGTAGATTGTCCTTGGCATAGTGCCATGGTCCCTGCGATTCAATGACATCGTTTCTTCGATTCATGGTCTTCCAAGCAGGTCCTGGCCAATGCATGAGATAAAGGTCGACGTAGTCCAATTGTAGTCGTTTGAGACTTAGTTTGAGACATTGGAGTGTTTCCTCGTATCCATGATATTTTCTCCAGTGTTTGGTGACGACAAATACTTGTTTTCGACTGGAGAGTATTTTCTTGTCGTGTATGGCCGTTTGAATGGCGTTTCCTACCAATCGTTCTGTGGTTTCCCCACCATAGATGAATGCCGTGTCAATGCAGCGATACCCGCATTCCAGTGCCGTGAGTACGGCCTCGTATGCTACCTCTTTTCCCAATTTGTACGTTCCAAAGCCAATCCATGGTAGAATGACTTTATTAACGTTTGGGTTGTTACATGTGTTGGGCGTGTTGAGTAGAACTCCATCCGTGAGGGATGTAGCGTCATCGGCAGTGTGAGTCGCTTGAAACAAGGATGCCTCCGGCATACCGGTAGTATCATTATCATTGTCTGTGGTAGCCATTGTTTGCAAGTGCTTGGGTCTGGTGTTTCTGCTGGTAGAAGGTGACGACGGACCCATGGTAGTAAGAAGAGACTTTCGTTTGGACATGGAAGCTAATAATGGGATCAAACTGAAATTGTGGTCGCTGTGACAACGCCGACGACAACTGTGAGAGAACAATATGGCAACTGGAGTGAATTGTTGAGGGTATCCTATGCCTACCGGTAAGGAAGACGGCTGATAACACTGTGAGAGGAACGCCCAGATCGAGACTCGCATTCGAGCGATTCTAGTAGACTATAAAAAGGAAAGAGGATTGTCGCAATGAATGTATCTTCCCGAACGGAATATCGTAGCCTCCAACATCAAGGAAAGGAAAAAGTGAAATTTTTCAAAAGCCTTCGGGGCTGTTGAAAAAGCCATCAAGGCGGGTAAAACATTTTGGAAAGTATTCTTGGATGCACGACTGGTTTGACGGACAACAGCAAGACTTTTCAAGAGAGCTGACGCCAATGAAGATCGACGAGAACAGAACAAGCTTTGCCTTTTCCAAAGGTGTTGCTTGGCGAGAAGGGAGAGAGATATACCTCACGTCTCATAATCCAAACCAGCGAAGAAAGGATAAAGTCTATCATGTGCCCAAGCGGCAATAACTCTGCTCTGAAGCAACAGCAGCCGACCATGGACCACCGGGAACCGACGGCAGTCGTAGCGCCTGTGCCATCATTCAATGCTTCATCTTTTCCTCGATTGACTGCTACCAATACTAATACTGCTACCAATACTTCTACTACTACCTCGTGCAAACCATCCGACCCGGAGGACGCCTGTTGTCGCCACTGCGGCAGTCGTTCGTTGCTCATTGACTGGGCACAAGGAGATCAAGTGTGTACACACTGTGGTGTGGTTGCGGCCGAAAAACTGCGCGATGATCGTCCCGAATGGCGAGAGTTCAATGATGCCGAGGATCTGGCCAAAGGACTGCCCGCATCGGCGCGGTGTGGACTGGTGCCCGTCGATGAGTCCAAATATCTCGGAGGTCTGCAGCCCACCACCATGAGCTCGACTCCCTTTGGCGGAGGAAACTTGGGCTCGAAAGCTGCCAGAATGGCCAAACTGCGCAACCAACTCGTTACCACCAACAAACGGCTCGATCACATGATGGGACAGCATCACGCAAGAGCACTCAAGAATGCTAGAATCTCGCGGTTGGTTCGAAAGCGACAATTGCAAGATGGCACTACTGTGGAAACAGACCAATCCGATCTCGAATCGGTTGTCACCAGTCCCGATGAGGATCATCTACGACCGGAATTGGAACAAATACTCATTCGAGAAGAAGAAGACGCTTCCAGAATGCAAACAGCTCTCAACGCAGACAAGTGGAGCCTGCGAAGAGCTATTCTATTGCATGGAAATCACGAATCTCTCGACGACTCCAATGCGGCCCTGGCAGAACGAAACGATCTCAACTCACGCTTGGATTCCAAGTTGCGCAAGGCAGCTGCCGATCTGTACCTTGCATATCAAGTGCTAGGAGACGCATCCCAACGATTGCAACTCCCTGATCGAGTCACGCACGAAGCCACAACCATGCTATCCCGTTATGCTGCCAACCGAGATGGATTCAAAGTCAATGGAGTCAGTAGTCGACTCGCCATGAAAAAGAATAATCTTACCACGCAACAACGAAAAGAAGCCGCTGAAAGTCTAAGAGAACACAACAAACACAAACAAATGGGATCACTCTGTGCCGCATTGCTGTTGTTGACGGCACGCAAATTGGGATGGCCGCGACCCTTGACTGAAGTATGTGCTTGTGTTCACTTCAAACCAAACAGCAACAAAAACTCGACATCCTCCTCATTTATCAAACCCAAACATTGTTCTCGGGCCATGGACGAAATCAAATCAGCCTTTCCAGATTATGCCAGGTCCATTGTTGTGGCTGTGGGTCCAGCCGAGATGGCTTCCAACAACCGCAATAATGCTCCCACTATGAAGAATGATCCTGCGGCTACCATTCACTTTGTTGATCATGCCGTACGGAAACTACAACTACCACCCGTGGCGGAAGCATCCATTCGAGCACTGGTGTGGCAGTCTTGTCAAGAACAACACACCACAGGACAGCAGAGTGGAACCAAGTTATCCACCATTTGTGCGTCGCTGGCGTACTTTGTTTGCTTGTCGGGGTCCATCATGCAACAACTGGCTTCCCAGGCACAAATGCGAGAACAACAGCAGCAGCAACAACAACAGCAAAAGAGCAGCATTCGCGTGTCCAACAACAGGTTTCGGCTCTTTATCGGTAAAAGTAAGAGAAGGAACAACAAAACCAACAAGAACGACATGATGCCGCCTCCACCCAAGAAACCCAAACTCGCCAGGATTGTAACAGCCGATCCGAACAACAACAATAGCAAACAGGAAGCATCCATCCCGAAAGTGGTTACGGTGGAGAGCAACAACGGAGATGACCCGGCAGAAAAGAATGGCTTCAATCACGACGACAGCGATACGTTTGATGTCTTTTCTCATGCCGTCGGTTCGGAGCTACTGGCTCAGAAACAAGAGTACGAAATGCGACGTGTTTGGGATGCATGGGTGGATCAAACGTCGTGGCTACGGTCCGTTTCGGAAGTCGAACAGTCCAGCGGAGTGGCGAGCTCGACCATCATCTCGCATTACAAAGCCAACATTTTTCCACGACGACAAGCCCTCTTGGAGTGGCTACGGGATGCAGTGGTTGTCAGTGGCAAGGAAGGCGACGCACCCACTATCAATGGGTCCAACATTCTGTCGGAAACACCACTTGCAACCGTCTTGTTGTCTCATGTTGCTGCGGCGGCACCGTTGTTGGAGTCTAACGGAAAGACAAGATAGATCAAGATAAGCTTTTCAAGGGCAAACCAAGGTGCGATGTGTATACGAAGCACGGCAAGACGAGACCAGCTGGAAAACCCGCCGCCTCCTTCCGCTGCCTCCGTTCCAAGATCTCTACCAGTGGTACACGAGTTAAGGAACCACGTGCTCGACGGTACTAGCGACTCCCTCTACCATAAAACTAGCCTCTGTTCCGTTCTAATGAAGTGGTTTGGTCATGTTCTTTTCAAGTTTCAACCTGTCTGACAGCTCCTTGCTTCTTGTTTCGATCTCACAGCTTGACCCTCAACAGGAAGATCTGGCGCTTGACCGTGCAGTAGGTGCGTACCTTTGCGTTGCGAATGCTGAGTGATTGTTGAAATCTGCAGCGCACATGGTGGCAACTTTTGTTCCTCTCGGATAGTTTTGGTTTTACTCCGCAATGGGTGCGGTGCACATCTGATTCCAGTCAATGACCAAAGCACGTGGAAAAGGAACACCCGACTGTGCACCAGCATTGCACCAAACGCCATAGCACAGCGATAGGAACATAGTGCGACCTGTCCTCATCCCTGGAATTTCGGGCCTGTCCGCGCTGATGGTTGTCCAGAAGAGGGCAGGTTGAACGCGATCACCCCAAAAGCTCCTGAATTGAAAACTCGTTTGACCGCGCGCCGTTATGTGTTGGGTACTAGTACCGGTACGCTACCCTACCCTACCTTACCGTACCGGTATGCCATATGCGGCGGGCAAACCAGAGAGCGATGTCAAGGCGACATGACAGAAAACTGGTGAATGGGGGCGCTGGGATAGCTTTCAATCTAAATCAAATAGCTTCCCTGTTTCTCAAAAGTACGTTAGTGTTCACAATGTTGCCGGTTTTGTTGGCGGCGGTCAAATGATCATAATAATGCATTTATGTGCTTTTATCGGCGTTTTTCTGACTAGCCAAACCGACTATTTTAAAATACGTTAAACTGCTCGTCATTGGCTTTTCGGTGATTTTATTGCTTTTTACAGCCATGACTTCTATAATTTTAGGAAGGCAACCAAAATGACGAAGAGAAAACAGAAGAAGGCCCAGTCGACAGCCACCAATAAGGAGACGAATACTCCATCCGATGATGGTTCTTTCCGTCTGCTTGAGCGTCTTGCCATCCTAGGTGATTCTGGTTATGCTCTGTGTGGATCCTTTCTCCTCCTGATGGTGGCCGTAGCGTTCTCATGGTATGCAGATGGGGCTGGTAGTGGCACAGCAAGTACCGGTACAAGTGAGATCCCGGCCCTTCACAAAAACAAGCAAGTGAACGAGAGAGATTTTGAGGAGATGTACGAGCAACTTGGACCCGTTCCTGAGATGCGGCCACCCGTTGTCTTCTCAATTGATGATGATTTGGACGAGATTCATGCCGCGTACAAGCAGGAGGGTGTTGTGGCAGTTCGTGGATTGGTGTCTGCAGATTTATTGGAGAGACTAGATGAAGCAAGTAGAGAGTTAATCACAAAGGATCCGGGCAGCAAGAAGAATCAGAGAAATAAACAGTTCCACACCATGCAACAAAACCCAATTTTTCTCAATGATTGGACAGCTAATACAACAAACACCAACGCCAGTGCAACTGACGCAACAATAAGCATCTCCCAACATTCCAATCCATTTGTCCAAGTGGCCTTGCTATCCCAAGTCCCAAAACTAGCCTCTCAGTTAATGCTCCCCGAGCTGGAAGCAAATGAGAGCGTAAGAGTGATCAGAGATATTTTCTTGAGCAAAGACAAGGAGGAATTCATCTGTGGCTGGCATGTTGATGACTTTGGATTCTGGCCGGCAACAGCATCATCCCCTGGCATCAATGCCTGGATTGCCCTAGACGACATGCCAGCGGTGGGAGGTGGAGGCTTTGCTTTGGCTGTGGGAAGCCATGCAACCAGCTGGCGAGATGAAGCGCAATACGTCACGGGTGCCACCACATTTTATCCTGAAGAGGGATTTCAATCAGCAGCGGATATGTTTGCCAATCGAACTGGAAGTGGCACTTGCAACATCCAAACAGCGGCACCTCATCTCTACAGAAGAATGGAAGAAACCAAGAGAATCTGGGACCTCAAGCGGGGTGACATCATTTTCCATCAACGTTGGCTATTCCACAGAACTGTGGCCTTTGAGAGGGACTATGTAACTGGAGAGAATGAGAACTTGGTTTATCGAAGATATTCTGTTCGCTATGCACCTGGATCTGCAATCATTCCTCCCGGATTTGGTACCGAGCTCAGCGTATTGTGGGACCCTTCAAACGCCAACCGAACCGCAGATGCGGTCAGCAAATTGGACGGTCCATGGTACCCACAGGTGTGGCCCTCGGCAAACGATGGAGAACTGGAGGGCCTACAAGATCTGATAGACAAGAAGGTTCCCATAGCGCAAGAACGGAAACTAGCGAGACAAAAGGAGATGCAACCATTTCTGAAGCAAGCGGCTAGAGAAACCCAGAGTAGACAACGAAAATAGTGATGAACTTTGCGAACTTCATAGTCTTATTAGCTAACAGTGGACTTATCCACGCTCCACCACCTCTTCATGCAATACGACCCATGTACTGCTCAGCCAACAGCTGTATCTCGCTATCGTTACAAAGAGATTTGACATTCAAGATACGTCGTGCGTCTCTCATCTTTGCCGCCTCTTCCAACGCTGGCTTCCACAGCTCTGCCTCGCACAGCAAGTCATACCGTTCTTCTGGAAAAGTAACACGATCGATGTAGCGCATAATCTCGCTGACGCTCTGTTTCCCCTTGATAACAACACGAGCAAACGGTTTGTATCCAACCGGTGACTTAGCCTTGGAGTCTGAGAGAAGACGAAGATTGGACCATTGCTTGCTGTCGGCAAAGGCCTTGATCTTGATGTGCCAAACTCGCTTCTCGGGTATCCTAAACTTCTTCGCAATTTTGTCGGCATCTGCCAGAAGGCGGTGCTGTTCACGTTGGTTCAAAGCTGCATAATGAATAACTGATGCCATCAATGCCGTGACAGATGTTGAATCGGGGGCAACCTCGTAAACGCCATACTTTGTTCGTAGCACTTCCTGATCCTTGAGCAGCTCCAAGTAGTCGTCTGTGCACGCTTTGTGAAACGTTGTTTCTTTTCCCAGGCCGAAGATTCGAGAAGCCTCCTACACAGCACAAAAAAAGAAACAGTGGTTAGCAAGGCTTCGATTCCTTCACTGTGCGGCGCGAGGAAGACTGCATGCTTACCGTCAGCATTGCATGTTTTTCACGAGCATCGTCCGTTTCCGTTTTCTCCATTGCTCTGGCGGCCATATTGCATCCTGCATCAGTGAACTTTTGCGCTCGTAGTTGCAGATTCATCAAGTGTTTGACATCCGCGAGAGTGCTGTAGTAGCGCCGCATCATGTTGTAGCCCTCTTTGGTAAATTTGGAAACCACAGTTGCCAGGAATGTGGCCTGGCGATCGAGTTGGAGGGAGAAACGTCAGATAAGTTGTTGCGTGTGGCATGAGGAATCAATAGCGCGTTTTGCTGAACTTACCTGGGCCTTAGCTGGATCATTGATTGTCGACATGCACGTCTTTTCATATTCCATCAAGGTGGCAAAGATGAAGTCAGCGTCCCTAAGACAAGAAACAAACATGGAGCTTGTTAGTGACTTCGAAGCAACGCACGCCTTACGAAAGACACAAATATTACGAATGTTGGCTACAAACCTCGCGGTGGTGGCAACTGCCATAGCGTCGGCGAAGGAACCGGTGGATATCAAAGCGGGCACTTTGTCGGCGACGCTGGACTCGAGCATCAAGAGAAGATTGGCAACCCCCGGGCGACCAGCCTTGTTTGCAGCCAGCGCCACCGTAGCGTAACCCCCTCGGTTGATGCTGGTGGAGGCTGTTTTGGAGTCAGTAGTTGCCGCGGCATCCTCATTTATCATTTTGATTGCCGCATCCGCAATCTCTGTATCCGAGTGACCTCGTTGACTGTCTGACGCAACCAGTGCAGATGCTTTGGACGCTCTGGCATACAATTGCACTGCTTTCGGCAATCCAAGGTACTTGCTTATGGAAGTCGCCAATGCTGGTCGTTTCATTGCAATCAACCTCGCTACCAGCCCAGTTGGACTCATGGCATCAAACTGAGACGCCGTGAGGATAAAGCCAACATTCGGGTTTCTCAACGAGTTAAGGATTCGCAGCTTTCTTGCAGCGGCGACAAACTTGACCGTTGTGTGGGACGGTCGCACTCGGCATTCTTCATCGGATCCGGCTAAAGGTCCTCCCATCATGCACGACCGTTCGCTGTTGTCTTTATAGGAAAAATGCATTCCATACGACGCTGCACTCAGCAATCTTTTTTGTGTCGCAATATCAAATTCCCTCGTGGCAGCCTCGGTACAGGTTTCAATGGCCTCCAACAGTGCCCCAGTCTTGACAATAGCCTGGGCGGCCTCTTCTGACGCTGGCGAACCCGAATCAAAGGCATCGGAAGCGTCAAGTAGCATAGCCGATGGCTCAATGGAACCAATTCGCAGCAAACGAGCCGTGGAAGGTGGCACGCGTTGGAGCATTTCGACGGAAGAATCCGTCAACACACGGCAACAGTCAACCTCCGGAATCAGGAATACGTTTTCGCTATCTTCGTAGGGGAACCTCAGCCAATCGCCATACGGTCCCACCATGAGGACACCCAAGTTCTTCCAATGCAACACCACACTATCTTCTCCGCACCATTTCATAGCCAACGGGGGCGACGCGGATCCTTCACTGGTGTCAAAATCGAGTACTTTGGTTTCAAAGGATGTGGAAATGACAGTCAACATGGATGACTCCGTAAAGCACGCCAAGAATCTGCCATTGGGTGCAAATGTCATGTCCACAATGGGTGCGGATATCCTGGCTCGACAATCGACATCGATAATCTCTCCCGTGACAGTATTGATCACTAATACCGAATTGTCCGAGGTAGACAGGTATACATCGGGATGGCCCGAGGACGTCCGTGTCCTGGACAAGGCGGCAACGGATAAGTAGGAGTGAAAATGCGTACTGGCATAGGCAGCCGTGTCGAGATGTGTGACAATGGCATAATGAGGAGGCAATACATTGTCTTGTCCTCCAAAGGCCTCCGAGGTGGCTGTTGCCGTGGGCAGAATTCGTCGAGCCGCAATATGAGCTCCATTGTAATAATCTGGTGGATCATGATCGTCTAGTATCTCTACTAGCGCAGATTGTTTGGAAGAAGCCAAAACGGCTGCTCCTCCGTCAAATATATTTGCTTGAATCAACTCAATTGCTTTGCCTTCGCCTCGCGGCATGATATGGAATGGTTGCAGGACCACATCACCACGTAAATCATAAGTCAGACAGAGCGAATCTCGTAGAACGACCACGAGAATGTACCGATCTGTGAATCCCATGGACAAGATATCGGCAGCCGTGTACCGTTTCTGTCTCTCTAGATTGGGAGGAGGGAATTCAATGGTGGACAAGGGCAGTCCAGAATTGGTCATGATTCTCAATTCCGCATGTGTAAATGCCCCGGTGTGTCCTACGATGGGCAAGGTAATGGCAGCCACGGGTCCTCCATGTGGACAACCCGCGACTTTGGTGACAGTGGTAGTGTTGAGTAGAGCCCTGACTTCTCGTTCATCGAGCATTTGTGGATGATGCTGGACGACAGCAGGAGGAAAAGCGGCGAGTCCATACTGGAGTCCTTCCTGATTGGGATTGTTGTTTTCCTTGCCACTAGTGGATGATTCAATTCGATTCCAACTAACATTTGAGTAAACGGGGACCCGTCGATAGGGCAAATCTCCCAAATATTGCCAGGATGCTTCAGCCGACGCATTTTCAGCCCCTTGCAATCCTTCGAGTGGTTCATCTTGAGAGTCTTCCGTTGGATTGGCACTGGCCATGGGATTGTCAAAACTCGAGGATTGGGTTGTGTCAAAGGGGTTGATTCCCTGTGTAATGGCAGGAGCTACGCCTTGTTCGCCACTGTCCATGTTAACGTCATCATTGTCAAATGGATTCTTGGACGACACTCGAATATTGCTGCTGCTGCCGCTTTTGACAGCAGTATCGTCGTAACCATCGTCAAAGGGATTCGATCCTTGCGTCATGGTTCAGTCGCAATGAAACACTCAGCAAAGAGGACCTCCTTTCCGATTTCGGTTCTTCAGAAAGTGAAAAAGATCCAAAAGACAAGCTTGATGGCTCGATGGCTCCCTGGAAACAGATTCTTCGCGTAGCTCAACAAGACCTTACTAATACAAGAGACGTAAAGACAAACCACGGCTACCAGTAGCTATGCTAACGACTTGTAGCAACGCTTCAAATCTTGCTTTTGGCAACGTTGGCGCCAACCTCCATGAGTTGAGTTGTGAATGGAAAGGTGCTCGGACGTCGAGAAGCTTTTCAGTCAATTCTAAAAAGTCTGCAAGGCTGCCTGAGACCTTTACTCCTGGTCTGGTAGTCTTCAGCAATGGCTTATTATTACATGTAGTAGTTTTACTTCTTGTAGAAGGCTAGCTACAGTACAAGCTAGTCTAGTAGCTCTCTGCAGAAGGCTCCAATTTTCCTTTGACAGGGTTACGTTCATTCCTATTCTATATCAACGCCGCTCTTCTACAGCAAAGGCTGTTGTCTCCAATCGGGTGCAGCCCATCTGAATGCTTTTCAAAATGTAGCTCACTTTTGGGCTCGAAGCGCCTTGGCATTTTTGTGTTGAAGCGACGATATCAATACATTTACGGCACCAGTGGAAGACTGTGGCAGCATCCATTACCTACGGTACCTCAGAAACCCTGAAAACTGGCTCAATCGCATATGCGACGATTGATACCGCTAGCTAGGCAGCAAATGAATCTACTGCGTCAAGATCTTCATCTCTATTCATATACTTCTGCCGAAGCCAACTTTTTGGGATCGCCTTGGCATTTGGGAAATATTTTCAATAACCACTCTTCGATTTCTTTCATGACGTCTGATTCTCGTCCACGAAAGAAATGATCTGCATTGGGGAGTATCTTGCCCGTGGTACTATCCGCGGGGAATCCTTCCAAGGTCTTCCAAAAGACCTGCTCAGTTGTGAAATTGTCGTTGTCTCCCAACAGACAGAGGCGTGGTAGATTCTCTTTTTGCTTGGCTTGATTCAAGTGGTGATTGGAATTGAAGAGCAGTAGCCAATGCTTGACACTCCATGGTGGAGCAATGGAGACACTGGCCACAACTGCATCAACTTGAGCCGAAGCACTGGCGGCCAGCAAACTTCCATAGGAGTATCCCACCAGCATTATTTTGGTGGCTTTGGTATTTTCTGTCAAGTAGTTGGCAGCCTCGACTACTTGTTGAGCCTGAAAGGTTCCCCAACTGAGCTGCCATCCCACGAAATCGAATCGGAGGGTCGTAATGCCCAATCTTTGAAAATGCCGAGCACCGGCAATCACGACGTTGTTGTGCATGTTCCCTCCCAACGGGCCCCAGGGATGGGTCAATACCACTGCTAGATCACTTTCCATGTCAGAGAGCAGTCCGGGAGCATTGGACGTTGGCAGGACGATGGATTGTTCAGACGGCATTTTGGTGCGAAATACAGATTTAGACAATGGCGACTTTGGTGAGGGTGGCTTCTTCGCAAAGGCACTTCCAAGTCGAGATAAGAAGGAGGGAGATGTAGCAGCAGTCAGAATGGCAATGATGGCAACTGTAATGGAAGCGAACACTCTGAAGCCTTGGGGCATCATGGATCGACCTGCTTGGACTGTGGAAGAAATTGAGCGACGACAAAAGAGTTCTGGTTTCGATTCGATTCGATTCGACTTTGAAGGGGTATTCGAATCGAATCGAATTTTCAATCCTTTGTCAATCATTCGACGTTGGAAGTCGCCACGTCATCTGACACCTTTTCGGGTGCACGAAGTCATTTTTTCTCCATCAACTGCCTCCAACCTGCAACCTCCACAATGGCATCACAAGAATCCAGCTACCCAGAACAACACTCAACATCAAGAAGGAGACAATGAGCAGCGAGAAAGAAGTCAAGCCCAAGAAGACTCTATTAGGTTTCCCAAAGCGTCCCAGTCGAATCTGAAAGTGCGGTGATGAATTGATGAAAGTGGTGATGAATTTGGCATGGTGTTGAATTCAGCGATGAATTCGTGACCGAAGTGATGAATCGTGATAAAAAACCACTGATCAAAAGGAAAATAAGGCTTGGGTTACTTTGGTGATGACGTGTGATAAACGTGATTAAACAAAGTAATTACATGCGGGACCTTCCGGGTCGTTTGCTTGATGCACATGCAGCTCGCACAAGTAGCAAGAGACTATGCATACATGTAAGAAAAGGAGGCAGCAAGAAACGGCGGCAAGAGAACCTAGTAGGGTTAACTTGACAACGTCTTGCTTCAATCCCTCGAAGCCAGCACGTACCGGTATGCTGGTTTAGTTCCCTAGCTAATAGTATTGG